TAAATCACTATAAAATCCCATGAAATCACTATAAAATCCCATGAAATCACTGTACATGATGGCTTTCCCTTACCATGGTTTATCAAGAATTCCATCCCTGCCATATCCCGTTCATCCCGAATCAGGCAATAAAGCCCGAATTGGCGGCGCTGCGACTTGGTTTTACCGCGACGAGACCCTGCTGAACAGCCTGCTTTTTTGGATCTACCCTCTGGTTATGACTAACATAGCGAACTGGAATTCATCCATGAAATTTTTATGGAGGTGGCTAGTTCGCTGGGATAATCGAATCTATTTCGATTAGGGCCATTTTCCAGTTCGCTATGTTAAATAACCAGAGGGTATATGTTCATGAATTGTGGAATATTGTGGAATATTGCGGAATATTGTGGACTTGTGGAGAGAGAACACCGGTGTAGGACAAACATAAGGCTCGCGATGGGCTTTGGCCAGACACATCCAAAATCAGGTGATGTCACAATGGTTTTTCGAAGCGAGATGTGAGATGTGGCATTGGCATAGTGACCGACGGGCGATTGAGCCATATTGGTTACCAGGGATGCCTGGTATGGGTTGTCAATTGCCCCCATCAGGCAGTATAGCTCCCTATTTCATAAGCAATCAACAAAGGTGTGGTCAATGGCTTGTTGATCTACATTTTTCAGTGGCTTAGAGCCACATTTGCCACATGAAGTCAATTTTTTGGGAGAACATTTCTTCTGTTCCTATTTTTTCAATCATGATTCCCAATTGCGCCATCAATAATACCCTGTATTTTGGGGTTCATTTTGGTGGGGCATTCTGGTTTTGTTGGGATTCTGATCGCCCATAGTAGGGATACCCAGGTAAACCAATGCAATGGGATGGCAAAACCGGGTACCCTCTGGTAAACTAACATAGCTATTGAAAATTGCCATTTATAGTTGACTTACCCATTAAAAACTGTGATTTTCCATAGTTATGTTATATAGTTAACCAGAGGGTACAGGAAGTTTCATGCCCATGTCTGTATTGGTGTCTTTTCCCCTTTTTCCATCCAAATCCCATGAAATTCTAAGGCACCCAAGCAAACGATAGCGAGCGTGAATTGTTGGTTGAAATCACTAGGGCGAGTTCTTTGGTCTATGGTAGATACATCGAGCGTTCGCTACCCGGCCTGGTAATGACTGTTACATAGCTATTGAAAATGGCCATAGAAATAGTGGATTTACCCAGCTATAAAATGGTGAAATGGCCATAGAAATAGTGGATTTACCCAGCTAGAAAATGGTGGATCTTTCCAGTTCGTTATGTAACTGTTTACCAGAGGGTACTGGGGTTTATAAACCAACTTACAACTGGGGGGGCCTCACCTTGTACCATATATTTGACGATTTGGAAGCCATCCAGGTTGGGGACGACGAGGAAGGTGATGAGGACGTGACATATGTCACCAAAACGTGGTCAAGCTGCGAGTTTCATGGGATTCAACTTCATCATCATCATCATCACCATCACCATCATATATTTACATATATGTGGATGAGTTAAATGATACTTCACCATATTTTTTTTACTATCAAACATGTTAGTGAGAATGTAACATCATATGATAAATTGATGGGGTTACTAACCGACCCCTTTCTGCATGATGATCATAACCCAAGATGGGAATCCTGATAAAGCTCCTGGGTAGTTCCCAGCAGCAGGGTAAACCTTGGTTTTTACGGCACAGGTGAGTCGGTTAGTCGTCTGAAAATGGGACAAAAGCATCCTGTTTTTTTTTAAAGCTATTGAAGCCATGGCCATTTATAGTGAGTTTCCCATTAAAAATGGTGATTTTCCATAGCTATGTTAAATTACCAGAGGGTAAAAGGGAAGATATTGGGATGATAAACAGCTGGAGGGGATATGGTCAGACAATCTATGCTGCTGTGTCCCTGCTGATATAGGATCAGGCTCTGGGATCGGGGTGGTGCAAATTTCTAAAGGCAACATTCCCATATTCAGAAAATCTTCGCATACCATGTTTTCATCGTACTCCAGACCTGGGTTTTGGTATGTTACTTTGATAGGCATTTCAGCTCAATCTGGAAGGAACAGTTGGCCCACGGCGAATCCATTGAATGCCCCTCCACAGCTTTCTATCCCCTATGTCGTTCCAAAGGAGCTGTGGACGTTGAATGAATTGAAGGCTGCTTTGAAAGGAAGTTTCCTCATTTGTCTACAGAAGAAGGACAGGGTTGTCAAAGGTAACGTTTTTAAAGGTTGGCTAAGTAAAAATTAGCAAGTTTCTTCCCCGGGACCTCACCCAAGGTGAACTTGGAAAAATAGAACCCACTGGTGTGCCCCTGGAAGTTTGGGCCGGCTTTGAGATTGGAATTTTGGTTCTGGCCGCGAAATTTCCCTATGTGGTCTCTATACCAGCCACGCATACTCGGAATTCTTCGCATTCCACAAATTCTTCGCACTCCACATGGGACATCGCACTCCACAGCTAGGGACGCGCACATACTATAAAATCCACGCACTCTGCAAGATCTTCGCACTCCATAAAATCTTCGTACTCGGTAATTTTTCGTTTTTTTCGTTTTTTTTTCTTTTTTTTTTTTCTCGTTTTTTTTTTTTGGCTAAAATCGCCTGGAATCACGTTTTCTGGAATATGGGAAAGGTAGCGGTTTTTCGTGAGACGTCTGTAGTTGCACATACTATCGCATTCCAGGCAATTTTGGCCAAAAAAAAAAAAAGAAAAAAGAAAAAAAAAGCTCAGCAGGGTGAAATGTGATAATTTTCTGGTATATGATGGAAAAAACTGGTGTTGGATTCATGGGGAAGGTCGAAGGGGGCCACGCATACTGTTTTATTTTCGCATTCCAGAAAATTAGCGCACTCCAGGGGTGGCATCGTACTACTCTATCGGTGGAATTATTTTGCACGGAAGAAAACAGGATCGTCGATGATTTGTGTTCCCAGATCCTGTTGTGCAGAGCTCTTTGCGGGGCCACAAAGATGTCAAGAAAGATGGGGATGGCGCTGCTGATGAAAGGCCAGCCAAGCGTGCCAGAACATAAGCTTAAAGCTTATGAATTGGGTTTTGGGATCGTGAAAAGTGTAGATGACAAATTTCCATAAGAACATTATTAATCCATTTTTGGAAAGCTCAACATTTTTAATTATGACATTTCCAGAAATTGTTGAAAGTAAGGATCTTCTTTGGGGAAGAACATGTGCAGTCGACAACGTACGTGCCAGAAGAAAAGGAATACTTGGCAAACTGTATGAAATACAAATTTCACCTGAAAGGGGTCTTCGCAATTCCCTGAAATTTCCCAGCTATTTTGGCATGGAATATGTTCGGCCCTGGAATATGGGCAAGAAATTGCTAGAAAATTATTCAAAACAGGGCAGCAATTAGCCTCTGGTAAACTAACAGTTTGCTATTGAAAATGGCCCAGTCGAAATAGTTAATTTACCCTCTGGTGAACTAACATAGCAATTGAAAATGGCCATTTATAGTGGATTTTCCCATTAAAAATGGTGATTTTCCATTGCTATGTTAGTTCACCAGAGGGTACCCAGCTATAAAATGGTGATTTTCCATAAGTCATGTTAGTTTACCAGGGGCTAGTCATAAACATGCTCTAGTCCTCCATCATCTTTGTTTTTCTTTGATAAGGATAAATACACACTGTATGCATGTGGCTACATGCCCTAAATTTAACATAGAACCCCTTGTTGTCCATATTCAATAGGAAAATTATCGACAGATGCTTGAAATTTAGGTGGTCTATCCATCAATATACCTATAGTATTATATAATATTATATATATATATATACATATCTATATTGTATATATATATATATATATCTATACAATTATATATATACATACATATTGTAAATATCCATGAATTTTGTTTTCTTATCATCCAACTCTGCCGTACCTTTTAACACGACGACCCTGCCGTGAGTTGGGGGTTAAACCAGGGTCTATGTTCGTCGGGTGTTTTTTTTGTTGCAGTGAATGGGAATATGTATGGAATATGTATGGAATACGTATGGATATCTACTAAGAAGCTAAAAACACATCTTTATATATTAAAATTATTTGCACTCTATACAATTATTTGTTGGACCCACCTTTCAAACACATGTCCTGGCATTCCATATGAAGTTCTTATGGGAGATGGAATAGTTTGCCACGTTTTTTAGGGGTGGACATTGCGAATGGCTTGAAATCATCGACCTGAAGGGTGAAAGATGGTGAAAGTTTGGGCATGCTTTCAGCTCCATTTTTTGACAAAAAGAGGATGTGAATAGAGGACACCTCCCATGAAATTTGTGGCAGTGGCCTGAAGATTTTCAAGGATGACGGAATATTTAAGCCCTTTTTCCTTCCGAGAAATTTCCATGGCGTCTTTTTGGAGCTACAATCAGAGTTTCTCAACCACATGATGCCTCCCAACCGACTCCAAGCATTGAAAATGACCTGAAAAATGATCTACACCTGGGTTTTCTACAATGTTAGTTAGTTCACATGATAGGTAAATCATTTATACATGAGTTCTATCCCATACGTATGGTGTGCCCCAGTTATAAGTTGGTTTATAATAAACCCATCCAACTAGTTTGTTATCACTAGTAGAACTGCACCCCAGTTATCATAGTCATAGTTATCATAGTTATATTGGGTTCCATCAATGGGAATTTCAGGATCCAATTCATGGAGCTACGTTAGTACCATATTTTTGGCCATATTTTGTGGGGATATACCCTTAGATAGGCCATCGATTCCAGGAAATGCTTTGTTTCACAAATCACCTAAGAGTCATAGTTATCATAGTTACAGCCCCCAGTTATCCCCAGTTATCATAGTCATTCCAGTTAAGTCATAGTTATCATATAGTTATCATAGTTATCAAAGTTGTATGTAAGAAATGCTTTGTTTAACAAATCACCTAATAGGACTCCCCTGGGAAAAGCCAAAAAAAATCGCCTCCCCGGTTGCGCCATTGGGCCATGGCCGCCATCGCTGCCACGCTTCGACTTGCGCGTCCGGCTCGTCCTGAGGGTTTCTGTCCGCAAGTGCCGGAGGCGGTGCAGGCGTATGGGCGGAGTTCATGGGGTAAAGCCATAGGAAAAGCCATAGGAAACCATAGGAAAATGGTGATTGATTAAATTATACGTAGTATATTATAAAGACAGGTGATTAAGTAGTGGCAATTGAACCAGAAACATCGGGGCTTTTTTATGGGCACCAAAGGGAATTGACCAAGCGAAAGATCAGGATTTAACACATAACTGTGACACAACTGTTTGGTGCTGTCACGTGGGTTCAAGCATTTTTTAATGTCATTTGTCGTTCGGCCTAGTTGCGATGATGTTCCAACTTAAGACTATAATTCGGATGGGTTGAAACCACCAACGAGATTATAATTTACAGGTATTTGGCATAATTTTCGCATGCTTTTAGCATGGTTTGACATGAATTGACCTGGAGTGATATGATTATGATTTAAGATAATTTGACTTCATTGAAGCAACCAAAAAATCTTGTACCAACACAATGTATATAATTAAGCAGAACAATTTTGTTTTACACAAAATACCACACTGTTGTTTCCTCAGGCATCGTGATTTACTCAGAACAACTTAGCGTTACCGCTTTAGCAACAACATATATGGAAATAAATGGCACCATTCCCCCAAAAACCAAGGTTTTTAGGGTTTGAAAACACATGGAAAATCTTGGTTGGGTTGCCAGTTGCCATGTTTTTTTAGGGCTTGGTCTTGGGGTTTGATCCAGCCCCAGCAGTGGCTCGCCGTTGTCTAGGCACTTTTGGATGCGACTGAGGGCATTTGGTCTGGACCCTGGGGAAGATCTGGGAATCTGGCAATGAACAGATATCCCGAGTATTGACGGGATCTTGAAACTTGCAATCAATTGCATATATTGCATGCATCATTTAAAAAAACGACGAATTTCCACACCAAAAAAGCAGCAACGATCCAAAAGGAGTGAACATCAGGGAAACGAAAATCATCTAAGAGCCAGCAGGTTGACATCTTGCCTTCTAGATTCGTTTGTATTTGCGGTATCGTTCAGCTGGTCCAGGACGGTCCAGGTTCATGAACAGGGATGATCGTGATATCACCAAAAGTTTTGAATTGTTCCACTGATCGGCGCAGTTTTTTCTTATTAGGCTGTACCCGAAGATATTGAAAAACTGCATCCACCGTTTCAGATTGTCTAGACATTAAAGGTCGGATGGCCAAACCTGAAATTTGACCCGTAAACCCCAGTCTGTGGAGAGATTTTCCTCCCGCCTTTTTGATGTACTCGGGAAAGATACGACGTTGTAACAATGATTCCACGCACCTCACAGCGGATTGAAATGACGTGCATTGAGCCATTGCACTTCGCTTGTCTGAAGGTAATATCTTAGCTTCATTCGAAAGGTAATCAGTATAGATGACATTTTCAAGCGAGCCAGAAATGCGAGCAGGAATATATTGCGAAGTACAAAGAAGGAAATTCACGTACAATTCAAACCATGATACACCCCAGGATATAGCCATGCCTGGGTGTGTCATGGGGTCAAAGACTGCATCATGCGATGGCCAGCGGAGCGTCATTGCCCATTTGACAATAAGCCACGCTAAGTTGGTACCCTGAAGGGATCCTTCTAATTTTAATCCCATTGATACCAAAAGACTAAAGGATTAAGCTACTACAGCTACTACCCATCTAAGATTGACCTAGGTAAGTAGGGTTGATCCACTGACTTTTCTGTTGTTATAACTAAGCGGCAACCAAGCCACCAAGCCACCAAGGGGTTCACAGACTTCCGCTACATTATCATTTAAACTTACGACTACATTCCTGGTTGTTGGTCGGTACCCAAGCTGGCGAAGAAACCCATTAAACGCCCATTTATGGGATGGTTTTTCCACCATGGTACACCCCTATTTGTCATGCTTAAAGCATGTTGAGTCACCATTTTGATGGCGGTTAAACCATTGCAAACCACATTTTTGATGGTTAAGTCCATGTCTTCATCCCCACGTTAGAAGGGATGAAGCCTTAAGCGTTGCTTCCCAGAAGGCTCCCCAAAGCTAGTGAGGTCGGATGGCAGTTCCTCTTCTTCGTCGGAGGATCCACCGCAGGTCCCGATGGCGCAAAGATTGCAGGGTGGGGCCCCAGTTCGTTAGCTAAGTCAGCTAGTTATAATAGTTTATAACTGCAATAACTAGGATATGACGAACTAGTTAAAGGGAATTCAAAACCAACTTATAACTAGGGGGCATCACCCTGTAAGGGTTCCAAGGTGTTTTGGGGGTTGGTTTTCCCAAGAAAACGTGGATTTTGACCATTCGGAACCGGGGTTTTACCAACGAAATGCACGGGGGTTATACAAGGGTTTTTGGCAGATATGGGATGGGCTGCTCCAAAAATTGGTGGATTTAGACCAGATAAGGCTGTAAAACCAACGATGATGGGGGTTCAATGGGATACACTTGTGGCCTTGTAACCACAAATATGGGTGAAATCTCTCGATATCCATGGGAAACCACGCATATTCATGTTTTCATTTACTGTAATCCAATTTAAGCATTGAATTTGTTCATAGAATAAAGATAAATCAGGTAATGAAAGATAGTCAAATCTCAACCCCCTGTCCCATCTATACCAGACCCTCTAAGTCCTACCCGTCCTACCCGGGATAGGACTTTACCGACCATCTAAAGACCTTTTAAGGCAACCGAAGGCCTAAGGACCAAGATGGACCACGGATTTCCATGGCCTTACACCAGATGTTTTTGTTGTGCTATCAGTATCCAGATTGACACCCAAATTGTTGCTCATGTTGGTTGAGCATTCTGGTCCCCTGTCCACGCTTTAGATAGGCATGTTCCACGCCCTGAATAGGTTTTTTTTGACGCCCTACATAGGTCTTTCCACGGTTTGTCCACGGTCAGGTCTGAAATTCTGCATAAATTGTGCATCAAAATATCCTGTTATTCCTAATTGTTTCTCTTCAAGAAGTTGTAAAACTAGTGAATAAAATTATATGTCCCTTGCGTGTGCACGTCTTGAACCCATGCTGCAGCACCCTTCTCTTGATAGGTCCCGGATTTCCATTTAGGTTTTTGTCCAAAGACCTATCCAGAATAGGTCTTCGACACGCAGGGAGTACAGATATCCACGTTTGAATCCTATTGGAGATGCACACAACATGTTATAAACCAGTAGTATAAACCTATCATAAATCAACTTACAACTACTTTAAATCCCTATCAGTCTCCATTGTTCCCGGTGAAATCCTCGCTTTCATCATTTTTCTGGGTAGAAGCACTATAAATCCCTTATAATCTGGGTAAAACAATGCCATAAACCATCCCCCAAATCACCATAAATACAGTGCTAGTTTTACCATTCCCAGATAGGTGGTCTATGGCATTGTTTTAACTTTTCCTGCTGAACTGCCCTGATTTTTCGATCACTTCCCAGGCCTCCCGCTCCTCCACAGCGCCCGTGCCGCACTTGCCGGTGCCCGGCGCCCCTCCCGGCCTGGAGGGGGAGCGCGTGGTGCGGCGAGTGTCGCGGCAGAAGTTGCAGGCGCGGGCGCGGGTTCGCTCTGCGGCGTTGGGACGGGCTGAGGAAAACTGATGATAAGCTCGGGGATGATACTAGCCAATATGCCCAAGATACTCGGGAGTACAGTATTTAAATAAAGGAACATAAATAAATCCACTCCCTATGAAGCAATTTAAAAATCCAATCCCTATATGAACCAACCAGGATAACGGAATGACAGATAATTAAGACTCAGCCAAAGAGGAATTCAAGAGTCAAACCAACAGCCAGCTGGTGTGACTAGCCACACTACCCTGTGTGTTTTGTACACCTTGGAAGGCTTGAGATAAAGAAATCTTGACCGACATGTGCTGACCGCGTATCCCCACTAAACATCATATCCCATAGGATCCATATATATGGTGACATGGGTCCCATCAATATACCCCAGTCATGTTAGCATATATACCAGCACCATGGATCCATCATGGGATATGGACTGGTTATGATCTGTCTTTCCCGACTAGATGGCCATTTAAGGGGAGGAAATTCACCACTGATCTGATCAACTGGCTGGTGGTTTCAAACGTGGCTTTTATTTTCCATGTCATAATCATGGGATAATCCATGATAATCCATGATAATCCTTCCCATTGACTTTCACTCCATCATTTTTCAAGATGGTTATAAAACCACCACCAACCAGGTATTGGTAGTTTTCCCTTGATTTTCAAGTCACAAAAATGGACGCCTCACCGCAGGTGCCGGGGCAGACAGCAGCAAGGAGGCCCCAATGCTTCCATTGGAAGTCTCGGGGCTCGGGTCAGAGGCTACATCCACGGTAGGATGTGTTGGGCCAAGCAAGACGTTGATCCAAAGATTCCAAAGAACAACAGCAACATGTTTATCTGGGTACCCTCTGATAAACTAACATATTGAAAATTGCCAATTATAGCAGAATTTAAAATAGTGATTTTCCATAGCTATGTTAGTTTATCTGGTTAATTATGGGATTAAATATGAGGCCCCGAGAACCACGGATTGTTATAGATTGTTGTCATGTTTGATGGGAAATCAAATCCCAACGGAACATGCACTGTCACCGCAAGCAATCTGCAACTTGACGGCTTAGTGCTGGCTGGTTTTTGAAGATCTTGAAGTACAATCAGTTGTATCTCAAGATTGCATGCTTCAACATGCGTCAGATACCCTCCGGTAATCAATCAACTGGTTGATGGTTTCAAACATGTTTTATACATTTTTTATTTTCCATTATTTTCCATAATACCATAATATACCATAATATATGGAATAATCCATGATAATCCATGATAATCCTTCCCATTGACTCTTATATTTTTCAAGATGGTTAAAACGCACCACCAAGCGTTGTGAAACGTGGCAATTGTTCACTGTGGATGAACCCTACTTATCCCATGTAAATCACTGGGGTAAACTACCCACTTACCCTCTGGTAATTTAACAGTTTGCTATTGAAAATCACCATTTATAGTGGAATTTCCCATAAAAAATGGTGATTTTCCATAGCTATGTTAGTTTACCAGAGGGTAAGTGGGTAGTTCGCCACCTGGCGTGCCAGGTCCAACTTCCTTACGACTCCGGCGTCCTCGGGGCGCTCGGTGACCATCAGCGACGGCGGCGAGGTGCCGACCGCGAGGTCCGCCGCGCCGCGGCTGCTGCCGCGGTCCTTCACGACGGTGCCGCGGTTGCGGTGATGGGCGCGGGCGCGGATGGGTCAAGGGATGTAGATCTGGGGGTTTTCCATGGAAAACCTGGGAAAACCTTGGAAAACTCTTGGTTTGTGAGAGATCTTGGTTGATAAGGTTGATAAATAAGGATTCCCCAACTGGTGATAGTTAAGGATTTAGATTCAGAAGGATTGCAGCTAGTTGTAGTTGAGGGGGAAGAACTATAGTGAATGGGATATAATATAATATATATATATAAATAACTATCCCATGGCTGGGAGATCACTATGGTTAGGGTGAAAGTAAACCAACCGATTTGATTGATTTAGATAAGTTATCTAATGAAGAGATCTGGGATTCCAAAAAAGACATGGCTGTGCGACAAGGCCTGGAAACATCCAAATTGCTGCTACGTTCCGGTGTCATCAAACGTTTCTGGTTTCAGCATGGGAAATCGCACGGGAAAACCATGGGTAAAAACACTGAGAATCCACCATGGATGATCCATGCAATGCGATGATTTACCCAGCCACGATCACCGGAGGCTATGTTTGATCTTCATCCCTACATGTGGAAATCATAGGTATTGGTTTTCACCAATCCCCACAAAGATATCATGGATGTTTGCGTGTCTTTAAACTTGTTGGGGAAGAATTGGTTTTCCGACTTTTTCGGGGGAATATGACAAGCGCTAGAACATATCCAAATGGATGGTCAATAAATGTGTTTCTTGCAGGCTGTCCTTCGAATCAACCAGACTACATACCCTCCATTAAATTAACAGTTCGACCCTACCAGATAGGGGTTGGAAGATTAGTTGCCACTCAAAAATGTGTGTTTTCAGGCTCGAACTGTTAATTTACTGGAGGGCAATCCATTTTTTTCCTTCTGGTTTAAATCTCTTCATCAGTCAGTTGAACGGTTCTTTGTTTCCTCCTAGTCGCTGTTCACATCCAGTCACCATCCAACAGTGCTGGCATTTTTGGGAACAGGGTTAGGACATGCAAGGTGAGACTCTACAGTTATCTTCGTTGGTTTCTGACTCCCATTCACTAGTTGGATATATATATATATCTCTCTCTCTCTCTTCCATGAACCACAGTTTTCCCAGTGATAACGTGGATGTTTCATAAACCTCTAGTTGGATAATGGTTCATAAATATCATAAACCAACTCTAAAATCTATATAAAATCTATAAATCTGGAGTTTATCATGGTTAAATCCACCATTTTTGTTAAGAGTTCCGGCCCCGGTTAAATCCACCACCACCGTGCCGGCAGGAGCCGGTTGGGAGCCGCTCCCATGAAGCCACGCAATGGAGCACGGAGCGGCGGAGGGGTATGGAAAGGTGCACCAAAACTTCAGACCATATGACGGTGCGCTGTTGCATGAAATCATGACTATAAAATCTAGTGATTACCCTCTGGTAAACTAACATAGCTATTGAAAATGGCCATTTATAGTGGATTTTCCCATTAAAAATGGTGATTTTCAATAGCTATGTTAAATTACGAGAGGGTAGTGATTAATTAACCGTAATATATAGTGATTAGGATATAAACCATAATATATAGTTATTATTACAACTATAGTAACTAATATATTTAATTAGGATATAATATACAGTAATTAACCATAATAACCATAATACCCACAATCAAACCAACTATAGTCCAACTATTATCTGGTTGGTGGTTTGGAACATCAATTTTATTTTTCCATAATAGATGGGAACAATCATCCCAACTGACTTTCATATTTTTCAGAGGGATTGAAACCACCAACCAGTAAATATAGTACTATGAAATGAAATAACTGTAAGTATATAAATTTGGCAACAAGTAAGAAAATGTTCGTACTAAGAACTATTAATCATTAAATCCATCTAATGTGGGGTTTAATCAGTTCGTAGTTACTAGACTATGGTTGGATGGGTTTTTACCAAAGCAACGTTTCACATCACTGGGCGGACCCAACCTTTTGAGCATCTGAATGGGGTCTTCAAAGTTGCCATGTGAATACACAGAAGATGATGATAAACCATGAAAACTTGAGGGCATCCTGTTTAGTAAGAAGACCTTTCTGCTGACTGGTGCAGAGCAAGGAACAGCCTCAATCAATATATACATATATATATATTATTATACACATAGATATCATAGATCAATACATGTGCAACTGCCATAAATGGACCAAGTCACAACTTCTCGTTCATCATCCAACCCTTACCAGCAGAATGAAAAGTTGTTTCTTTTTGGTTGCTATCCTAGTTATCATAAATCCCATCCCCCTAATATTAAGAAAACCCCAAATGGTCCCAAATATTTGTAAATCCCTGACTGAACCTTGGTTCATAGCACGAAAAAAAAAGTTTTTTTTGACAGAGGAGCAGCTGAGACAACAGATGGCCCAGTTGCAACAGCTGCAGCAACTTCAGCGACCTGACATATCTTGGGGCGAGAATTACCAGGATTTACCATCATTCGTTGGGATTTACCAATCTGTACAATCATTTCTTAAGGATTTACCAAGATTTACCATCACGTGCAGGAGGATTCGCTATAATTTGCGTTTTTTTTTGGCAACTCTTAGAACATGATGAAGCATCAAGCTTGGTATCTTCGATTTTTTAGACGAACCCATTCTCACAAGGATGGCTAAGGCAATGGTGGGGGTGGGGGTCCATCTTGGGCATTAGCTAATGCAGCTAAGGGAACTTGCTTAAGAAAAGGCATAAATGAGATTGAATAAACACATAAACATTATGCATTCCTGTAGCTAAACATATGTAAAACCCATGGCTTTCCTGTAGGTTAAAAACTTGAAACCCATCTAGTGAAACCCTGTGTATCCAACAGCTAGGGATCGAGAATGATGTTGTAATGGAAAGTTGGACCACACCATTTGGGGCAAGGTGTTTGGTAAGACGTTTGGTAAGACGTTTGGGGACAACATGACCCCTGCTTTGAATTTTTTACTTCGGACCTTCAGCCCCGCTTCCATCATGGTTTCAAATAAAACAGCTCTCCCCGAAAGTAGGTGAATATTCATATTCTTAAAAGACGTGCACAGGTGCCAACATTCCATATAATTGGTTTCAGTTGATGGGTTGAGATCTGTTGAAATGCAACCCCAATCCCATCCAAAGCAGGCTTGAGAATGATATCCCACATGCACACGATGATGCCCCAGGTTTAAGTTCATTCATAAACCGTATTGATTATAGACTATAGATATATTTTCCACAAACCATAGTAAATCTAGTTTAAACCGACTCGTCGCAAACGAAGCAAGCGACATCAGCAAGTGACTCATCTGTTAAACCTTTCAGCCCGTGAGGTGTAGAATGTTCATCTGACTGGTTTCAGACATGCTTGGTATGATGGGGATAGGTTGGGCAAATAGCGAATGATCAACTGTCTGGCATATGGCGAATGTGTTCGACATATGACAACGCATCATCAGTGCAGGTGGGTGTTGCCCATAAGTGACTTTGTGCCAGACAGTTGGCCTTTTCTTTGGGACAGAGCCTGAGGTTGCAGCAAATCTCTCAGTATGACTTGCAGCAGTGGCTTGTCTCTCGAATATTTCTCGACCAAGTGCAGATCAGAGGAGTTGTGTAGTGACTAGTGTGATGCCCGAAAAAGCTGAGTAAAATCATGAGTTACCCTCTGGTACACGTTGACATAACGAACTGGAAAGATCCACCATGCTATCTAGCGTAAATCAACTATTCCCGACTTGGCCATGGCTTCAATAGCTAACAGTCATTACCAGAGGGTATATCCCATGAATATCCCATTAAATCACTATAAAATTCCATTAAATCACTGTAAATGAGTAAATGATGGCTTTTCCCTAGTACCATAGCTATGGTAGTTTACCAGAGGGTACATGAATATGAGATGGGGGATAACCCCAAATAGCATAGATTTCCATGGGGTGTTTGGGGGTGCCCTATTGGCAACGGCGGCCCTCTAGGAGGCAGTGACGAGGGAAACACCCACGAAGGATTTTTCACGACTTCCTGAATATGTCTCAACAATTGTAGGGGTTTCATATAGTTTTCATGACTTCCTAATCATGGAATAATTATAGGGGTTTAATGATTAATGACTTCCGAATCATGGCTCATGGAAGTTGACAATCTGAACTCAGGGTAACTATAGCCGCAACTGCACCTCCAAAAAGGGATTTCTTGAGGCAACGCGCCCTGCTGCAGCAGTTCCAGATGACGCAAATGCAGCAGATGCGCGCGCAAAGACGCTTGGACCCACGCATGGTGGACGTTTTCAGGGGTTGATTCACCATGAGCAGTAAACAGCCATTGGATTATTGATGATTATTGGGTGAATAATGGTTTCTTAAATTAAATGAATTTTTGATCTTAAATGGATTGTATATTGGTTTCTTTGGATCACTGGATTATTGGGTGAATATCTACCCGATTCTACCTGTCTACCTTTTTTTTTCGCTCGGTTTCTTCCAATTCTTAGCCAATCGAGATGCTATTTGCTGAAATTTGATCACGTATAGATGTACATATATAGTTTGTTTGATTCTGTTCATAGCGCCTTTTTGATCATTAACTCGGAGCCCCATGATTGAATGGTGGAATGTGGTGGATGATTGTGTCATTCTGTGAAGTGACTTGGTTGGTCTACCCACACCCATTGTTACAGAAAGAATGTGCCCTCGAAGTTGGCGCCGTTTTAACCCTGTGATCCTCATTGTTCTTTGGTCCGTACTGCCATGCTTTTGTGAGTGAAATCCATTTCACTTCACAAAACTGTTCCTTCGAGCTGGTGAGATCCGATTATTTGAAATTATTTGAAGTGGTTTCAATCCATTTCTAGCCTCCAAGATTCCAGAGGCTGAGACGACAGCAGTTCTGAGGTTTGAGAGAGCCTACACCACAGAGGAGCCTTCGCGATTTCGAACTGGGGACCTCACCTTGCAGATTGGGGATATACCAACTTAGCTATCAATCAGCAAGACATCCTAGTAGAACACACGTTTTTCTTGGTCAAAGCATCATTTTTTTCTGGTGAAATCGCCATTCAATATCACCATATTTTTCTTGATCAAATCGCAATTTTTCCTGGTGAACTCACCATATTTTTCTTGCTCAAATCACCATGAAATCACCATGAAATCACCCGTTTTCCCAGGGTTTTCTTATGTTTTTCCGTGAAATATCACCATTTTCCGATGAGTTTTCCCAGGCCTAAAAGCCATGGATTTTCCATATTTTCCCAGGCCTCAAACGGACGACGTCGACCCCAAGGCGCTGCGGCGCACGGTCTCGGCCGCCCCCGCGGAGCCAGTTCCGGCGGACGCTGCGAGCCCCGGAGGTGCCACGGGGCCGTTGCGGCGGGTCCCACGGGAGTCAGGGGGATGGGCAGGAAGGAATGGAGAAACCACAGGAAAGCCATAGGAAAATGGTGAAATCATAGGAAAACCATAGGAAAACCCATAGGACAACTGGTGATTGAATGTTGAGTTTAGCAAGACAATTTGTGATTTCACCGGGAAAAAATGTGATTTGATTAAGAAAAAAGTGATGATTTCACCAAAAGTAAGAAATGGTAGTATAATGGGAATATCATGGGAGATAATGGGACAATGGATAAATAGTGACCTCACTGCGACCTTACTGAAATCATGTTTAGTAAAGGGAATCATCCCCAAATGGCCTTAATTAATTCTTCTGGCTTGCCCCGCTGCCAACTCATGTACGCCTCACCTGAGCCATTCCGCAATCACCATCGTCATGATGTTTGGATTATATTGTTTGCGATCACAATGGTACTCAGCAATGAGGAACCGATCATGGGAGACACAGCGTATGGCAATGTACGGAACGGAACAGTGTGTGCAGACTTGCTTGTCTGACCACTTTGAAATCATCGTCAACGAGGGTCATCAACTTGCTTCACTTGACAGCATTCGTGTCGACTTCTGGAAGCTCTGCCCTTGCGCCTTGGAATCCGGTGGCGCAATGATGCGCAATGCATTTTGATGCATTTTGTCTTGCTTTTCCATCTTTTCTGACTCGTTGGCCGTGTATCAAGCAGGATTTGGTCCTACCCACAACATGCAGGCGTCCGTCGTGAGGGTGGAGACCGTGTGCCCTTGGGATCTTTCACCAACGAACGATCCACATATCATTGGGGTCTCAAAATTGACTTTCCAAAAGCCCCGACAGGAAACTGGGTCATTTTTGCACAAGAATATCAAGAATTGCAACTTTCAGGTGGCCACCATGTGGAGAGAACCCAAAATCTCCATATGGATTGTTTAACGGTTATTTACTATATCCCCATAAAATGCTGGTATACCGGTATACCATTGTATACCCATAATATGTTTCTTCGTTAAATGCTGCGTTTACACGCAGCCATATTTAGCCAGGTAATTGCCAATTTTTGAGATGCCATATGATGCCATCAATCTGACTAAACTTAATTAGCAATGACTAAATTTATATTTGCGCACACTCAACCATTTGCATAAATTAGACACAGCGACCTCACTGCGACCTCACTGGAATGATGGTCAGTTGGGGTAACTATCCCAATGCAAGGTATAGCTTATGATGGCCACTTTGCCACAACTGATGGCCAACTTACTTCCATTTTTTATGTATTTGTTTTTCCATTTCAATTATCCATTTTTTTTGGTGGGTTGGGATTGAAGCATTTACAGCATCTATTCTTCAACCATGGGGTTTGAACTTATCCATTTTTGTTCAGCGCCTTTCACTGGCATGGGTTTGGACATTTGTCAGTTTGTCTTGCCCGCTCGTCCCTCCAGAACAGCTGCTCGAGCAGGGTTTGGGTCTATGTTTGCAGATCCAGAGCCAATGATCAGGATATGGGTATATGTTTGCAGATCAGTTTTGACCTTCATCGATCATTTAACCAGAGCAGGGTTTTGACCTTCACGCATAGATTTTGTACAAATAGGTTTAGGTAACATGTGCAATGATTATGATATAAAGTGTGTTGACTTTAGCTGAAGTACAACCATCGGGCTTCCCAATGGATCCAGGAATGCATACTTTCAAACCACAAGATTTCCAAATGGATCGCAGGAATGGATAGTAAATCCAAATGGATGTTAGGAATGGAAAAAATGGATATAAACAGATGTTCCAGCAGGAGGGGTTCTGCCAGATGCGGCTTTCATAAGGTATAGCGAATATATGGTGAATTATCATCAATAATTGTCATATTGTCATCCATCATCATAATGCATAAATTTATCCATTATAATTTCTGGTTGATGGTTTGGAACATCAATTTTATTTTTCCAGTTGGGAATAATCATCCCAACTGACTTTCATAATTTTTCAGAGGGGTAGGGCTCAACCACCAACCAGATGAATCATGGGATGATATAAACAGAATACCTTCTGGTAAACGTTTACATAACATTACATAACTATGGAAAAGAACCATTTTCTAGCTGGGTAAATCCACTATTTCTATGGCCATTTTCAATAGCTATGGCTTTTCCTATGGTTTTTTCTATATAAACCATGGTGATTAACCATCCTTACATATATTTTAAGTTGATTAACCAGAGGGTATGGGTAAATCCACTATAAAGGACCGTCATCCATGGCCATCCAGGGCGCCGGAGACGAAAGAGCATGCGTCAAGTCGCGCAGGAAGTCACCGCAGCGGCGGACTCTGAGGTGCGCCGCGCAAAGATGGGGGGTTCACCATCAAGATGCATCAAAATTTAGTATGGATATATATATATACTGTATACATATATATATATATGCTAGCCCCCCCCCCAAAACCGACGTTTTTCTCTTTCTTGTTTTGAAGACTGAGTAAATAGCGTGCTTTTTAAAATAAGTATACTGGAGTGATTTTCGATTTCTTCTGACAATTACGTTGAGCAACATGAGAATCTAGAGGAATATTGGAAATAAACTCTATTTTTGATATTTTAGATTTCATATCTAATATCAAGTTTAGAACTGGAGTAAAAAGCTTTAAAGCCTCATCTAAGATATTTAATAATCTGTCTTCTGGAAATTCCATTCCACATCCTTCCACCATAGTTATTTCATTTTTTGAGCCACTAATAAATATATCCATATTCTCTGAAGAAGAACTAGAAACAGATGGAAAAAAAAACTGGTGATTCAAATTGTGCCAAAATATCTAAAACATGCTATTTTTGTATGTTTTTTTTTCTACTTGCTTATTGTTTTAATTACATACACACAATTTTTACAATCTACCAAAAAATAAAAATAAATAAAGCTCTTGCTATAAATAGTTGGATTAAAAATGATTGGCAAAACTGCTTTAAACGCTAGCAAGAAAATATATATCTAGATATATATCTTATAAAAATCACTTAATTAAACTCGACAATCTATTACTACAAAACCAATTAAATTTTAATAGTTCTTATTTCTTCAGTTGTTTAAAAGATATGGATAAAAGGATAGTGCAATGTCGCATTTTAATAAAGCAAAATCATACTCAAAGCACAAACATGTATCATAACATTATAATAAGCATCAATATAATTAAGGATTAATTTTTGATTATTTATTTTCCAGAAAAGATCTATATACGTCTAAACCCATATAGAATAGAACAAAATTTAGCTCCTATATTAAACCCATCTTTTCAAGAGACAATAAAATTGTACTGACTTAAGAATATGCTATGCAAGGGAACTATTAGTATTTAAAAAATACACTCTTGCCTACAAATTACTTAATCAAGCTAGCAAAAATATAACATATATTGACAATATATAAAAATACATAACTTGGCAGGATTTATAGCACTTGTAAAATTAAAAGTATATAATATTGCACTAAAGCATTTTTCTTATATAGATGCGATTGCTACATCACCAAATCAAATAAGTAGACATTCCTATTTTATGTATATTTGCATGCAACATATGCAACATCTAAAATATCATGCACTGTCAAAAATATTATAAAGGGCTTCAAAATACTGTGCACCTTTTTATGGAATGATAGCACATGAATTACTCAAGAATTCACAAATCTCTTTACCAAAAACAATTGATATTAATGATGCAAATATATATATATATATGAATGTCTTAAAACAAACATTACAAGATGAAATTGAGTTTATATCTTACCTAATAAAATATAAAACATATAACCTTGCAGACAGTTTAGTAACTCAACTATTTAACAATATATGTAAAGATATTTTTCATATAACAATATTTTTGATATATGGACAAGAGAATCAACATCTGCAAGTGATTATTTGTCAATGTGCTTTGAGTTGTAATATTGTAATTGCAGATAAACTGTTTCAACAAATGCCATTACCTGATGAAATTCCACTTCAAACTCATTATTTAACTCATGTACAATATATATGTATATATACGTATATATTAATTGTTGTCTTACTGTTGAACCCAGGTACTTAGAGTAATTTTGTCACCAAAAGCGTTTGCAAACGTTTGCAAACGAGTCCAGGGACCCAAGTACTTAGAAAGATTCAAGATTCAAGATTCCCAGAAAGAATTCTTGAATCCAAGGGGATAGGATTCAAGATTCAAGATTCCCAGAAAGAATTCTTGAATCCCAGGATTCAAGATTCAAGATTCCCAGAAAGAATTCTTGAATCCAAGGGGGCAGGATTCAAGATTCAAGATTCAGATTCCCAGAAAAACTTCTTGAATCCAAGGGGATAGGATTCAAGATTCAAGATTCAAGATTCCCAGAAAGAATTCTTGAATCCCAGGATTCAAGATTCAAGATTCAAGATTCCCAGAAAAACTTCTTGAATCCCAGGATTCAAGATTCAAGACCTATCCCCTTGGATTCAAGAATTCTTTCTGGGAATCTTGAATCTTGAATCCTGGTATTCAAGAAGTTTTTCTGGGAATCTTGAATCTTGAATCCTATCCCCTTGGATTCAAGAAGTTTTTCTGGGAATCTTGAATCTTGAATCTTGAATCCTATCCCCTTGGATTCAAGAAGTTTTTCTGGGAATCTTGAATCTTGAATCTTGAATCCTGATCAGGAACGTTTGCAAGCGTTTGCAAACGTTTGCAAATACTTCTTGTAAAAAATACTCTAAGTACATGGATTTAGTAATAGTAAGATAACAAATAATATACATATGTGTATATATATATGCATATATATGTATGATACTGCCCCACTGGATCTCAAACTGAACAAGGTAACTATCCCAAAAGCGTTACAATCTTGAAAATGTCGGTTTTGGGGGGGGGGTACCATATATATATATATGGGAATTTATATATATATAATTATATATATATATATGGGAATGTATTATACACTATATTATTGTGATATTGTGTTTTAATGGGGATAATTGGAATAGATCTCAATATCAATATCTGAATTCTATGGGTGTGAGCCATCAAAGATGGTGGTTTCACATTTGGTTGAACCATTCTGAAATGCGGGGATGCCATAAGTGAACCGAGACTGGAAACGGCTGTCGTTTGGGTGGTATTTGATCCTTGGATGTGAATATGTCATACCTAGTTGGAAAAAAGAACTGCGGTTTTGCCGGATATCTCCCAGATTTATGAAGATTTACCATTGTGATTGTTGTTGCTTAGTATGCCTACGTTTTTGTGATGCCTTGGATACACAGCTGCTGGTATCGAAGATTATCGAAGATTAGCCAGGAAGAAATGCACAGAAAAAATAACAAGTTTTTGACGATTCATATCCTAACTCAAAATACCTCCCACCATCAAGTATGTATGAGACGAAACCTTCGCAACAAGTGATATTTGAGGAACAAACTTGAAATGTACTTGAAATACATTTTTTTAAACCTCGGATAGGCTTATCCCACACATTTTTATCCAAAAAATGGACCCTCCAGTAGCTCCAGTAAGTTAACAAATCGATACGTTGAGGGTTTCCTGTTCGGAATACTGGGGCAGTGAAGGCACGGAAAGAATCCGGTATGTGTAGAGAATGTAAAGATGGATTTGTTTCTGAAGCTTATGGGAGAACAACAAACACAATAGTTACCATGTTCCCTATTCAAAATTGCAATTTTATGATGTTCAATGTTAATCCTATTTCAAACATGCCCAAATCTCACATATAAATACATACATACATATGGTTGGTGAAATATATCCCACGACATAGTCAAAAAAAACCACCATTTCTGTTAATCAAATTGTTTTTTTGCGTTCAAACCCCGCTGAAAAGTATTTTAGCCCACTTCACCCCTATTAAAACAAGAACTTCTGTTGGTTTATCCCCAGTAAATCTCCATTTTCTACTTCACGAAATCACCTAAAATGCAATCCCATTCTACATCAATTAGGAATCCCAACATTTGCAAAAAAAAAACCGAGTTTCCAGATCTTGCTCCCAGTGATCCCCATGAAAATGGCCTAAAAAAGAAATAGTTGATGTACTATCTTTTTCCAGATTGTGATGTTCGAGTTCGCAAACTGTAAACGTTTACCAGAGGATACCCTCTGGTAAACTAACATAACTATGGAAAATCACCATGATTAATGGGAAAATCAACTATAAATGGCCATTTTCAATAGCTATGTTAAATTACTAGTACCAGAGGGTACCAGAGGATAAATTCACCCTTTCTCTTGCTGAAGTCAGCCAGGCCGAGATGCAACTCGAAGCAGGTCCAGAGGATGTGGAGATCATCGTGGGGCCCACGGATCATGCGGTGCTGCCCTTGTCCTTTGAGGAGACACCAGGGCAGGCGGCCCAGTTCAATAGCTATATGGGTATGGGTCAAAATTAGGTACCCCAATAATTGGATGGTTAATACTAAACTAGACTAACATCTGTGGTCCCCTAGGTCTTCCATTTTGACCCACATCCATATGTTGGTAACATTCAGAAGTTCACATGTTGAACCCACCCGGTCGCCGCGTGAGAAACTCTGGATCAACGATGACTCTGTGGCTGTGCGGAGTCGTTCCAAGCACCTCTCTGTTCCTGGGCCTGGTCAGATGTCAAGGGATGTGGGCTCCAGGACAACCCCCAATGATTGTGGTAAACTAGGGTAAACCCAATGATGAATAGAGGTTTCAATGGGATAATCATATAGGGAAAATATGGGGAACATACTTCATAGATAGAGGTTCAATGGGAGAAGCAACTATAAATGGTGCCAATAGAATGGGCATAAATATATACATATATATAATATTTATACAGTATATGATGAAGTATCATTATTGGAGAGTACCTATCTGGTGGTGAATGGAGGGAGCGAGCGCTCTGGAGATATGCTGATGGATATTTTCCCAACGAAAAATGAGGAGCCACGAATTGAACTACGAATCGAGTTTCCCAAGCGCATGATTAAACCTACCCTCTGGTTATTTAACATAGCCATGGTATAGATGGCCCTTTTGTAGATGGTTTACCTATTAAAAATGTTGATTTTCCATGGCTATGTTAAATAACCAGATGGTACCATTTCGAGATGGTTTATACAACCGAAGTCCTAAATCCGTAAACCTGAAACAAATCCATCTGGGGATTTGGAAGTCGGCATTTTACAAGGGAATAATTCACAAAAAAACCACTTCAGTTAAGTTCAACATGTGATTACTGTTACTGTGCAAAAAAATACCCTCCAGTAAATTTGGGCCATGGCTATGGGCCGCATGGCCCATTTGGGTGGATGGTTTGTATACCCTCTGGTTATTTCACATAGCCATGGAAAATGGCCATTGAAATAGTTGATTTACCCTGAAAAAAAAAGGTGATTTTCCATGGCTATGTTAAATAGCCAGATGGTACCTATTAAACATTGTGCATGTTCATGACCCTATTGAATTTCCGAGGCTGATATTTCGTGTGATTAAAACAAACATGGCTGGTATTGTGTGGTGTGTTTTGGAGGGTTTAGGAGACCCCCAAAAAATGAGTTCTGTGCCGCACATCAACAATCTCCGCCGGCTCAAGGGTCGACCCCGGCCCAATTCGAACAGCTCAGCTGACTCAAAATAGAATATAGAGGTAGCTTGACTACGGTGTATGCTAGACATATCATGAAAATTCATGAAATATCATGGTTACACTCTGTTTGATGTAGGCTTCAACTTACTGAGGACACTACCTCTCTCTACGAGAAGAAGTTAGCACAAAAAAGGGATTGGGGCCCTCCGAATGGATCAACGATTTTTCCATGGCTTCTTCGCTTTTTGCGAAGCTACACACGTCAGTTAAGGTCACTTTTTGTCAGGTTGATTACTTTTATGATTGACACGTGGCGTGTCCTGGTCGGTTGGTATTTTTTGCTGCTGAGACCATCAATATCGCATGATTTTTCCATGGTTTATTTAAGCGGGGGAATACACGAATCTCCCGGCCATGAATTTTAGGTTGGTGGTTAACATGGCTATTTTCTTTTTCCATTTCTTGTTGGGAATTTCATATTCCCACCTGACGAACTCCATGATTTTTCAGAGGGGTAGGTATACCACCAACCAGGTTATTAACCATCATTAAGCATATAATAACCATTAATATTAACCATTATCAACAGTATATTAACCATATTTTTCAGAGGGGTAGGCTCAACCACCAACCAGATTCATTAGGGTGCCAGGATTTGAACCAATTACTGAACCATCCAGACACTTTCGTCGCTGTCGGCGCGTCATGGCGGTGTCGGCCTTTTCCAAAGTGGGGGAGATCGACGACGATGATGAGGATGGCAAGAAATCTGACGTTCTGACAATATGAATAACAAAATAATATAACAACTATCTCAGAAAGTATTGTTTAAAAAAGTCGAAAAAATAGAGTGTCATACAGTGTTTGAATCTCTATATGTTTCGGGATTGCTCGTCGGCTCGTCAAACATGAAATGGCTCTTTTGGTGAAGTCGTTGCCCACCCCGGCGACGTTTTCGGGTTTTGTGAAACATCATGATACACTCTCTGGTTATGACTAACATAGCCATGGTATAGATGGTCCATAGAAATAGATGGTTTAATATGGTTTACCTATTAATAGCATGGTGATTTTTTCCATGGCGAACTGTTAGTCATAACCAGAGGGTAATTATAAAGTATAGTAAACCCATAGTTCATTGGATAGGTTTAGGAGAGAATTGACATTTCAGAGCCAGCGTCTTGATTTTTTTCATGGGAAAGACGTTGTTGGAAATCCTGTAGATTTCCCCTAAACCAATCCACTGAATGCGATGCTGGCAGTAGGATTGTCGGGACATGCCACTTTCACCACGAAAATCGCCGGGATCCATCCAGCCATGTTTCCGACGGTGACCACTTGTCACTTCAGAAGCCTGGGATTCTCTCCAGATTTCTTAGCCCAGCCTCGGGCATCCCTAGTAAATGGGTCATAAGCACATCAGAACTCAGTGATATTTGGGGAATATCCAGAGATAAATATGGTTGCTTTCCCACTCATCACGTTCTCTGCAAGTGTCCCAGCAATCATTATAACACCCCATGTATTATCTGGTAAACTAACAAAAGCTGTTGAAAACCACAATTTTTAGTGGGTAAATCAACTATTTCTATGGTCATTTTCAATATGTAACAGTCATTACCAGAGGGTATATCCTATACATTTTCCCTTCAAACCACAACTAACCATAGTTCACCACAGTTATTACAAGGTGGGGCCCCATAGTTTGCTAACTTGGTTAGTCTAACTCCCTGAATCCTCGGTCCCCTGTCGGGCACGGGAGGAAGAGCAGAGGCTGGCGATCAGCCAAAAAGCCATGGCGCAGTACGCCGCGGTGCGCCGCGGTGAGCCGAAAACTTCGGGGGAGCTCAGCGGATTTCAACGGGTTTTGTTCGGATTTCAGGGGGCGGGAGTGAAATTTGGGTGTGGGATTGAATTGGGATTTTTAGATTTACTTGGATGTTAATGGGAGTTAATTGTTTATCGGATTTGGTTGGGTTTTTGTGGGTTTGAATTGGGTTGTTATTGGAAAAACATATGTAAATTGTGATTTAAAGGGTGATTGATTAGCTGAAGATGTGCTAATGGTCCGGTGTCTTACTCCACCAGAAAATGGGGATATATTGAACATGATCAGATTCTCTTTTCCATATGTCCAAAACTGATATCACTAGCTAGCTAAAAGAATGATAAAAGCAGCATAAACACTTCGGTAGTTGGGTACGAACCTTGTATCACAAGATTATTTTAGATGAATGAACCACATTTCATTGACAAAACATGGGTGTATCACAAAATGGGTGAACCCTAAAATAGTTTTTTAATGGTGAACATGCTAATTTACCATTGGGCTCAGAGAACTTCATGTTCAAAAAATATCCAGTTCCTGGTAGTTGAGTAAATCCACATGTTTGCCTCCACCCGTTGTCGGTGTCGTTGTCGTTGTCGTTGTTGTTGTTGCTGCTGCTGCTGTTGCTGCTTAAATCCACATTTGTTCAAAGTAAATCCGTTTTTCTTGCTAAATTCCACGTTTTTCTTTGGTATGGGTTTGGTTCAGAAAACATTTGAATTGCAGATAGGCCTGCGGAAAACAAAAACACATAGTTGTCCTAGTTATGTGTACAAAAGGCGGTTCCGAACTAGGCCCCCAGCTTGTAGAAATGTTTAAAGCTTCAATCCACATCGGTACCCATCGATGGGCAAATGATGGCAATTGGATAGGGGGAACGAGCGCCAAATGAGACTGATTATATCTGATTATACCTCACATCCAGAATTCATAGATGCTAAGTTTCCTCACTCTCATCCTTTGACTTGGATGATCTTGGATGATTTGAACCGTTCATAAGTTTGTCAATCCCATCTCTGGATATATCGATTGGTAACTCCCAGCCTAGGGCGACTAAGTTCACGAACCCGGGCCCTGCAGGCCCAGAGAGCCTATGAGAACAAGATGTCCAGTGAAGAGGTGGAAACTACGGGGCCCGTGGGGCTTAGAATTTTATGGCAAAACATGGAGGTTTTGCCTACTAACTCTGGTGGTTTTGGAGGCTGCTGGTTTTTGATTTTGTGAAAGATTGGTTCACCAGCCGACATTCGAAGGTTTACCCGCAAGAAGTTCGGGATTGATCACCAAACAACTGGAATATGATGAGAATGAAAGGAACATGAGCACTATGCCCACAGCCTCCAGAGTGAATTTCAGCGTGAATCCTCCAAAAAATCGCAGCTCAAACCCAAAACCTTTTCGTTGCTTCTTGGGCAAATATACCCAAAAGGTCCCAAAAGAATGGATGATCCGGGTGTCAGCACAACCTCCGGTGTGTGACCATGTGTGACCCAGGCTCTTCTTTATCCTTGTAAGAGAGTAAAACCATGTAAAACCATTTTCGACTAGGCATCATTATTCTGGGTTATGATGACCCTTTGCCACAACCTTGTGACTTGCATGTTCCTCGCGCATCACTTAAACGGGAAAACTGGTTCCCATGGATTGGTTCAACATATCCATCAACCATCACTGGATTCTCGTAGCTTAACCAACTTCGCCATCATAAATCAACCAAAAACCTCCCAATCATTCCCAATCCAAAAAATCCCCATCTTCGCTTTAATCACCGCTTTTACCTCAACGTTCTAACAACGCGCCGGGATTTTTTCCGCGGAAATGCCAGGTGCTGAGACTTTTTGAAGACGCCGAAGGCACCATGCAGCCGCTGCTGTGCAATGGCCTTGCCTCTTTGGAAGCGAAGGACGACCGGTGCATACCAGTGCCCCTGGGATGGGCCTGGTGCGGATGTTTCCGTGACATGATTTTTCTTCGTGGATAAACGGACAAGTTATAGTAAAGTGGTGGAATGCAGTGGATAATACATGATAATACTAAATGGGGATATAAACCAACGTTTCACTTGAGATTTAAGTAGTACCAAGTGGATAGACTATGTTTGATGTTGACAAATGATGGACAAATTGTATCTGGAGGGGATCATCAAACCTCAATTTTGATACTCAAACCTCACACACCTGTTTAAACCCTCCTAAAATATCCTTTTTCACAGTTAAACCTACGTAGTTCAATCATATTAAACGCATGTCAACTCATGTCAAATCCAATGTGAAAACCCTCTTCAATCACCATGTTTCGCTAAACTCATGGGGTTCTCCTCAATTTTGGGCCTCAAAAATCCGTGTTTCTTTTTTCGGATTTTTGTTGGGTTCCACCGTGGTTCCACCGTGGTTCCACCGTGGTTAGGAGCTGGAGACGGTGCTGAAGGGTCGCCTGCATCAGGCCGTGACCTTGGCACAGCTGGGCGCCGCCGACCGCTGGCCGCGGATCAAGGCGTTGGCGGAGGACGTCTTGCAGCGCCTGGGGCGGAGCGGAGGGGGAAATGGATTACCCTCTGGTGAACTAACATAGCAATGGAAAATGGCTATAGAAATAGTGGATTTTCCCATTAAAAATGGTGATTTTCCATTGCTATGTTAGTTCACCAGAGGGTAATCAATATCCCATTATTAGCCACTATTAACCATTATTAACCAACAGTGATGGTTGGGATTCTGAACCGCTATTAATCACTGCTTGGGATTAGAAATTATAACATATTATAACTCTTAATCACTGGTTGGGTACCCTCTGGTAATTTAAGTTACATAACTATGGAAAGATTCACCATGCTATTAATTTATGGGAAAACTCACTATTTCAATGGCCATGTTAGCCTCTGGCTCCGATGAAAATCGTGCTTCATTTCCATGGGTCTTTTCATGGCGAAACACCCGGCCTGGTATATGTTTAACGAAGATGTTTTTTAAGATCTTACGGAATATATATACCATTATATATATATCTATATATCTAAATGTGTGTGTGTATGTGTATATTATATATATATGGAATATGTCCCAATCTATGGAATATTTGGTTTTAATGTGGGGGATAGGTGAGTTGCCACAAGAAAACCATCGTAAAATGCCGAGGTAACTACGAAATTGGTGATGTAATCGGATGTATAGCTGATTCATGATAGGTAAGTTGGTTATGGAATATCCCTATGGTTAAAATGTTACAAACAAGTGATGGTGGGTTGCTAGATGTCATGTCATATCACCATATGAAATGATAGATGTATCACGATATGATAACAGGATCAAAGCAGCCAAACATACAGGAAAGATTTGAAACAACATGCTGCACAGCTTACTGCCCCCCAGTTTTGTTACTTGGTTTATTTTCACCCATCAAACATTATATAATATATCTATAATATATCTGGCATTTCAAGCCATGAATGTACACTAGTCGTTTCCACCAACTTAGCTATAGTAACTCTAGTGACCCCGCCACACTCCGGGACTTGGGGGCTGTTTCTAAATAGAAAACGACCACAACTTCCCCTGAGGTTCGACTTCAACAACGCACACGCACGCTGGCTGCGTGGCCTCTCACTGCAGCATCACTTCGCAAAGCCGTTGGAAGCGGAACAGGAGTGCCGACGTGCAGTGGAATGCGCGCGGATGCAGGGAGCCATGGTGTGCAGTGATCTTGGGGTGATAGAGTTGATTTTTCGACTGGGCTGCAGTGTTGGGTTGCATGAGAATGATGAAAAATTCTCAACTCAAACCTCAACTAATTTTAATTTTATGATAGAAATCCATCGATCATCAAAAATTGTAACTTAGATCCCATTAGCCTGTCATGGCCAACTAATCTTAGCCCCGTTATTGGTGCAGGTTTTTTTTGTCCCAGAGATTCGCCAGAGATCACAGGGATGGTTCGGACATCTTTAAGGAGCACCTATTTTAGTGGTACCCGGCCTGGAAAACATACAAAAAACGATGGAAAAGCACCATGCTATTAATGGGTAAATCCACTATTTCTATGGCCATTTTCAATAGCTTTTTGTAAGTTTACCAGAGGGTACCCTGAAAAAAAAAGATGATGGAAAGATTCACCATGCTATTAAGCTGGGTAAATCAACTATTTCGACTGGGCCATGGCTTCAATAGCAAACTGTGAATGTTTACCAGGCCGGGTGAATTTGGGGCTGGTTTATGGCTTTGGCTTTACCACCTTGTGGCAGTGACTGACCCAAATGGAGATCTTTAGCGATACAAGGAGGGTGCTCCTTGTCCCATCCTGTCCCCCTACGGTGAAGTTGGGGTGTTGGTGTTGGTGAAAAAACGGGAAGTGCGAATGGGGCCGCCGAAATGTTGCCAGAATTTGGGAGTAGAGTACAATAAGGTATGATAAGATACCCCATGCTGACCCCTCCTGCTACAATGAGATACCCTGTTCTTAATGAGGATGTCACGATGTCAGCACCGTCCAGTGACCTTGGCCGTTGATCTTTCACATCTCTTGGGCTTCGCCCAGGAAAAGATGCGGAAGCCAATTCCTGGGAAGCCGCGTCTCGGCATTTCACAGCGGCCTGCTGATGTCATTCCATGAGCTCATGAACAAGTTGTTTTGTCAGGAGGTCACAGTACTATCCAAGGTCGCCGGGTGTTAATTTTTGTTTGCCTGGAATGGTGCCAAAGTACCAATAATTATTCTGCATATTTGTTTAAACTAAGAAGCATACTCCAACGTTTTAGTAAAGCAATAGGATCCACCATCCCCAAGTCTACCACAAATGGCTGGTATAAGTATATGTACAAGTTATAAGCCATTAAAAAATGGCTGGTTTCTTATTGCTATGAGGCTTGCTGGATCTTGCCGGTTCCATCCCTAGGAAGTGGGGCCCCCAAGATAGCTAAGTTGGTTTATAACTCCAATAACTATGGTTTATGGTACGCAAATAACTATAGTTTTCATGGGGTTTATAAACCAACTTAGCTATCTTGGGGGGCCCCACATTGTAGGAAGTGTTGAGCACCTTCTCTTGCGACCCCGCGGTGGCCGCGGTGGCGACTCCGGCGCCTGCCAACGCTGCGCCGGTGCCGGAGCCGGAGACCAAGAGTGCCATGGCCAAGGGTGCCTTGGCGATGGTACCAGGGTACCAACAACCACTGGGAATTTCAGGACATAGAGGTACCGTACCATATTAATTAATACAAGACCGACTTGGGGGCATAGTTCCTCACAACATACATATATACATCTATATATACATATGCATACATACATACATGGTAGGAACCTTCAATTTGGGTACCTGAAATGGCCATTGAACCAATGTTTTTATCCAGCGATGTTTGTTGGTTTCTGCATGAAAGTTCTACCGTAAAGCATAGTTAGAAGTGAAGCCAACTTAGCAAAGAGGTCTGTGGGGTGGCAACTATGGAACTCGAGCTAAAGGATGGCGATGATGGGTAAGAATTCCATCGAATTCCACTTTGCAGGATTCTTGAATCACCGATAGTGAAAGTTGGGATGACGACATCGGGAGAAAAATAGTCTTAACAGGCTGATAGCATCTACAAGTGATGAATACATGTTGCTGGAAAGGAAGGCTTGACCAATTACTGGATCATCATAACAAGACATGTGAGCATGTAGTCGACCAACATTAATAGTTTGCAACACGTCGACTGGTATACGGGCATATCAATATTTGAATTTGAACCTTACCACTATCAATTCACCATCTGTACAAGGTGATGCGCTTCACTTACAACTTAAACCCCAACAACTATCAGATATATCTGCCATACACCATCGTTGCATAAATCATATATAGACCAACTTCGCCATTCCGAACTGGGCCCGAGGCTTCTTGAATCGTAGTGCCAAGAAGAGCCGTGCGCCCGAGCCCGCCACAGAAGCGCCAGTGCCACCGGCAGCAGAAGCGGCAGTGGCAGAGGCGAAACAGAAAGAGGTGGGGACTATTCCATGATGGGGACATGGATGGTACTTGAACAAACGGGGAGTGGGAATCAGTTTTTTCTTCATACTACAATGTGGGGCCCCCAAGATAGCTAAGTTGGTCTATAAACCCCATTAACTATAGTTATTTGCGTACCATAAACCATAGTTATTGGAGTTATTTGCACCAACTGAACGCTATCCAACGGGGGCCCCACATTGTAGTTGTTACTTTCTACAGATCTTTTCCTGTCAGGCCATGTCAGGCCATGACAGGCCATGTACCTGTTCTATTTTTCTTGGTTATTGTATGTTATTGTCTCACTTGGTTGGTATCCTGGTATCCTAATAACGTTATTATATGTTATTATAATATGTTATTATGACATGGTTGCTTTCAATCAGTTTGATTAAGTTTGACTCTGTTCTTCTACTTCGATCGCCACTTCTGGCGGATATTCCCTATGAAATGGGGAGCCGCGGAGCTACGATACATGTTCCAAGCGCATGAATCACTGCTTTTGCTGCTTAAACCCACCCAAAAATCTTGCCGTTGAAATCTCAAGTTTTGCATGCTAAATCCCATTTTTTTCCCCTGGAAAGAAGTTCTCTTTTGTTTATTAGCTAAATGATGTTCACGAGTCAAGTCCTCATTGGTTAAGTTTCCCAAATCCAAAATGGTATCCCCATTCAAGGTGCCTCCCTGAGTTATAAGTTAGGGTTACAAACCCATCTGCCTATAGTGATATCTCTACCATGTAGAGTTCAGCTAGTTATGTTCACCAACTTCGCCAAGTAGTAAATTTCCATAAATTTCCATTTTTATCTTAAGGTTAAAAGGCACCATTTCTCTTTCTAACTGACTAACTCCCCATTTTTGTGAGTTTCAACGACCACCACAGGAGGCACCGCCCCTCGCCGCAGGCAGAGCTGCGCTCGGAACTTGCGACGCTCACGGCCCAGCTGACGGCTGTGGAGGCAGAGCGGGGCCGAGAGGCGCAGGACGTGGCCATAGCGCTGCAAGAGATCAAGGAGCCCGGCGCCGCAAAAAAATGGGAGGATTGTTGACTTTTCGGTGGTTGTGGATGTTTTAATACATTTTTTTTGGGTGGTTTGAAGAACTCTCTCTCTCTCTCTCTCCCTCTATCTTTGTTCCTATTTACATATGCATACCTAATCATACATATTACTTTTTGTGCGTACCGGCATCCTCCAACCGGTGGGCTTTTTCCAGGCCCCTAAGACGTGTTGTGTCTCTCTGTCCAAATGGCAGATTGCACTGCTCATTTTTCTACGCCAGTGGCTGGATTTGGCTGGTGTTGAACAAGAATGCGTTTTTCAGGATATGCCGGCATATCCCCGGGATATCCCGGGTATACGGGGCGCAGTTTTCAAGCAGGAAAGAATGTGGGAGAAATGTGGCAAAACAATGGAAAACTGTAGGGGAAAAATGGAACAACCTAGGACATAAATGGAAACATATAAGAAAACATATGGGAAACAATGGGAAAAGTATGAGAAGGCATGGAACACATAGGCAAGATAGGGAAAAACAATGGATCATGTGGTGAATTTTATATAATTTTATGGGGAATTTATTCACTAATCATCAATACATAGGGATATAATGAATGAGGTAGTGGATAGATGTTTTGATGAAAACTCAGGAAACCCCTATAGTTGAGGGTAAAAACTTGGTTTCCTGTAAATTTTCGCTGGTTAAAGATAAAAGATTTCACTGGACAAATTATTGGTATATTAGCCGCCAGGAAATAAAACATGTGTATCATGCATGAAAGCCAGGGCATGCCAGGGCCATTACAGATTCTCTTCAAGACAATTCTCATCACCCTGAAAAACAATGAAAAACATCGGCAGTGCCAGCCTTTTTCATGTACGAATGACGTACGAATGTTCCTTCCCTGAGGAGCTACCTGAAGAGCTCGCTTCGCTCAGCAGCTCTGCTTCAGCACTGGAAGCCGCACAGGAGAAGCTGCTGGCGGGACGGACGTGGGCGGAGAAGGAGCAGCCGCTGGGCATCGCTGCGGACCGCGGACCGGGAATTCACCATGGGAATGGGTTAAAACATGTTAAAACCCAAGCATATTTAGGATGAACATGCATAAAACATCAAGTATTTATATAATATAGTAATGTGGGTAAAACATGGTAAAACAAGAATAAACCATCCCCCAAATCACCATAAATAGATAAATAGGTGGTATAAACCATTCCCAAATGGGTGGTTTATGACATTGTTTCACCCACAATGTTGGTGGTTAGTAAAGCAATAATAAACCTATAGTAATGCAATATATGGAAATATCTCATGGACATATTTGATGGACATATATGAATCACTTTGGTTTGCTGAAGATTGTTTTATTTTCCCAAGGAGAAATCCACTACTTGGGGAATCTATCAGGAATATGTGTCTTCGATTTGGGGAAATATCATGTTCGGAAAGCATTATATATATATATATATTTAAGGGCTGCCGCCCCTGCCGCCGACCCCGGAAGCAAGTATGGTGGATTAGCTACATTTGGTTACTTGTTGAAGCAGGGAAATCTTGGTACCAACCTAAGAAATATATCAATTGCACCCTGCGAGTCGTACCTTACAAACATCATTTCGAAAAACGGGACAAGAACGAGCCTCGCGCACCACGGACCTGCCAAAGGATGCTGACGCTAGACTTCTTGCAACTTACGACGAAGCTGCGGCACGAGCAGGAACGACGTGGCAGCACAAGTCCCGCTGCGGAGCGACTGAACCCGCGCGTAATCCATTCGAAGCCCAGGATCCGAAAGCGGTCCGAAGAGGGCTGAAGGCTTTAGAGAGCAAATGTAGCAACGCAAACACAAAGATGACGCATGACTCGCGGCCGAGCGTGTGTGAAATCGAAGCACGAGAGACAAGACAGAAAGTCGACCAATTTTGCCGAGAGTTACGTCAGACAAAGCAATGCAACCCAGAGCAGCTATCCTTTATTGAAACTGTTTGTGCCCGGGTCAAGCACGAAGCAGCCACGGGGCAAGATCGCGGCGGGGCAGCCGAAACAAACACGGAGGCTCTTCGCTGGGCATTGCACGGCGGGCCGGGCACGGGCAAATCGTACGTGCTGAACATATTGCGGCGGGACTTGTTCGAAAAATGTCTTGGCTGGACGCCAGGCAAAGAATTTCAAGTCGTTGCATTCCAAGCCGTGAATGCTGAACCCTTGGATGGCGAGACAATCCATAAAGCTCTCGGGCTGTCGTGGCACGGTAACGATCACAACGTGGCTGGGCAACGGATTCTGGACCTGGCACGGCAAGCCGTACAGTGGCGTTGGCTTCTTCTTGATAAAATCAGCATGGTGAGTGCTGAGATGTTAGCGCGTCTCGAAGCCCGCTGTCGGCAACTTGTCTTAGATATATCTGCCACAAAATATAGCAAACATACCCCTACCTCCGTTGCACCTTTCGGGGGCCTCAACGTCATTCTCTGGGGCGACCTGTGGCAGCTACCTCCACCACGTGGAACGTTTCTCGGTCAAATTCCATGGCACCTTGTAACAGGCGTTCCATCTAAGAAGTTGCCACTAAGCTTGCAAGGCCAGCAAATTGTATGGCTTTCCAGCGTGCAAGGTGGCCTACAGGGGGTTACAGAACTAACACGGTGCGAACGAACGCAAGATGTCTGGCTGCAGGAGCTGCAAGGCGAACTTCGCGTCGGACGCCTATCCGAAGACAACCATGCATTCCTACACGGCCAACCCACAAGAGTCCCGGGAAGCTGGTGCGCACGAACGCAACAGCCTACTTGTGGAGAAAATATATGCTATCGCTTGTACAAGAACGGTTCCACGCCAGCAGCAATTCTCAAATACGAATGTGCAGGCTGCCGCGCCGAACGAGAAAGTAAGCGTTTAGTTGCAGTGGATCCAGACGATCCTCGGTTTGCGGAGGGTTTTAGCTTGGCCCGCGGAATTTTCCATACGAACGGGGTGAAGTGCCACGTAAACAAATTGCGCGCGGAACAATGGGCGCGACAGCGCGGGCAGGTCATCTACTATGCAGTGGCTACGGACAAAGTTTCATCGCGCGCTTTGCACGAGAAACCCGACATTGCCCACGACAAGCTCACGTGGCTACAGCGCAGCGACGCTGACTGCGGCAACCGGTACGGCGTCCTTCCGCTGTGCATTGGTATGCCAGTGCAAGCGCGAGAACATCTCTACCGAAAAGAGTTCAAGATTTTGAAAGGGTGCCATGGAACAGTCTGCGGGTGGTCTCGCATTGAAACAGAAACAGCATCGGCAGATGGAGCAGTCATTTGGAACAAACTTCCCGAGTATATCTTCGTGCGTTTTGAAACACGCACACGGTGGACTATCCCAGGCATCGATCAAGAGAACGTCTTCCCAGTGAGCGTGCAAAGTGGAATGTGGTTTTTGGACGCGGGCCGCACCAACCCACAATTGAAAGTCACCCGGTACCAATTTCCCATCGCGCCCGACTTCGCTGACACGTTCTACGGTGCACAAGGAAGCACAATAGAGCCGGGCGTAGAGCCGGGCGTGATCGTTGACATGGTCGGTGCTGACCCAATAGCGGCGTACATTGGGATGACGCGGAGCCGCACACGGCAGAAGATCTTGATCTACCGTCCGTTCCCGCTGGCACCTTTTCAAGCAGGTCTGCCGCTCGGACGGCAACTTCTGCTTGATGTGTGGAAACAGGAGCCGGTGGACTGGGACGCGTTGCGCAAGAAATACCTGGATGAAAGGCCGTGCCACGAATGTGGGGAGATGAAGCGCAAAGATGCGTTCACCAAAGCACAATGGAAACAGGAAACCTACCGCGTCTGCAAAGAATGCACCGCGCAGAAGCGCGAGGCAGGCACACCCTACCGCTGCATACAGTGCGGCCTCTGGCACGCTGCTTCACATTTTACGTTGAAGCACCAAAACCCTCGTTGGAGTCTGCCTTTCATGTGACACAAAAAAAAAATGTTTTGTTTGCAACAAGAACCAAACCAAGGAATTTTTCGGCACCGCCGCATGGCACGCGAGAAAACCTGAACGAAGATTGTGCCTACGTTGCCAAACTAAAACTCACGGCTCGTGGAAGTGCGCGACCTGTCGCCAACGAAAGCCGCGGCAACAATTTTCCATCTTTATCTCCAGACGGCCATCAGGAGAGGATGGCACGCAAACATGCAATACATGCCGTGCTGCCATGGTGCAGGATACAATCCGCAAGCGTGCTGCCACGTCCGCCGCTGCGCGATTAGAACCTCTTCGCAAGCGAATCCGTCGCGCACGCGTTCTCTGCGAGACTTGGGAAGCGATTGCCGAACGTCGAAATAGCCGCGGTCAAAGTCGCGTAAAGCATTTCCAAGCGAGGAGTGCGACGGATGCAAACAAAAGTGATTGCGTAGCGCAGGCTCCGCCGGCGTCACGCCAAAAGTCGCCGGAGTATGTATACGCGTGTCCTTTTTGTAACGGGGAGGTAACTTCCTCCATAGCTTCTGGAAACATTAATCACCGTCACGTTTGTGGGAAGCAGTTCCGTGTCGAAAACAGTAGCCTCCGTCCGACCATGCGGTATGCGCACACATGCCCAACTTGCGGAACTTGTGTCCACAGCAGCAAAGAAGCGGGGCGAATTCAGAGCAAGCATAAACAACCGAATGGTCGCGCGTGCCCGCAGACAGAGTGGCAAACGAGCTGAGGAATAAGGTGCAGTTTCCTTTAGCGCCCAGTTTTTGTTCTACTTGTTCTTCTTCTTGTTGCTGTTGTTGTTGTTGTTGCTGTTGCTGTTGTCGTTGTTGTTGTTGTTGTTGTTGTTGTTGTTGTTGGTGTTGGTGTTGGTGTTCTTGTTCTTGTTCTTGTTCCTGTTCTTGTTCTTGTTCTTGTTCTTGTTCTTCTTGTTGTTGTTGTTGTTTGTTGTTTGTTGTTTGTTGTTTGTTGTTTGTTGTTTTTGTTGTTGTTGTTGTTGTTGTTGTTGTTGTTGTTGGTGTTGGTGTTGGTGTTGGTGTTGTTGTTGCTGCTGCTACTGCTGCTGATGATGAAGAAGTGCTGCGCTGCTCCTGCTGCGGCTGCGGCTGCTGTTGATCCTGTTGCTCCTGTTGCTGCTGCTGCTCTTCCTCCCGAAGCTCAAAACGCGCCCTGCCGGCCGGACAGGGAAACACAGTGGCCCTGAAGGACGGAACAGTGCCAAAATCGAAACCAAAAACTGCCTAAAGTTCCTTCTGAAACATTAGAAAAACAATAGTTTTCGACCAGTTTTTTGTACCACTTTTTGTAAAATGAGACATAGTGAGACATAGAACCCTCCTGCTGCTCCTGTTGCTGCTGCTGCTCTTCCTCCCGAAGCTGAAAACGCACGCTGCCGGACAGGGAAACACAGTGGCCCTGAAGGACGGAACAGCGCCAAAATCGAACCCCAAAACTGCCTAACGTCCCTTCTGAAACGCTACGTAGAAAAACAATAGTTTTCGACCATTTTTTGTACCGCTGTTTGTACAATGACACATAGTGAGACATAGAACCCTCCTGCTGCTTCTGTTGCTGCTGCTGCTCTTCCTCCCGAAGCTGAGAACGCACGCTGCCGGACAGGGAAACACAGTGGCCCTGAAGGACGGAACAGCGCCAAAATCGAGCCCAAAAACTGCCTAACGTCCCTTCTGAAACCCTAGAAAAACAATAGTTTTCGACCAGTTTTTGTACCGCTGTTTGCACAATGAGACATAGTGAGACATAGAACCCTCCTGCTGCTCCTGTTGCTGCTGCTGCTCTTCCTCCCGAAGCTGAGAACGGACGCTGCCGGACAGGGAAACACATTGGCCCTGAAGGACGGAACAGCGCCAAAATCGAGCCCAAAAACTGCCTAACGTCCCTTCTGAAACCCTAGAAAAACAATAACACAATAGTTTTCGACCATTTTTTGTACCGCTGTTTGTACAATGAGACATAGTGAGACATAGAACCCTCCTGCTGCTCCTGTTGCTGCTGCTGCTCTTCCTCCCGAAGCTGAAAACGCACGCTGCCGGACAGGGAAACACAGTGGCCCTGAAGGACGGAACAGCGCCAAAATCGAGCCCAAAAACTGCCTAACGTCCCTTCTGAGACCCTAGAAAAACAATAGTTTTCGACCAGTTTTTGTACCGCTGTTTGTACAATGAGACATAGTGAGACATAGAACCCTCCTGCTGCTCCTGTTGCTGCTGCTGCTCTTCCTCGAAGCTGAGAACGCACGCTGCCGGACAGGGAAACACAGTGGCCCTGAAGGACGGAACGGCGCCAAAATCGAGCCCCAAAACTGCCTAACGTCCCTTCTGAAACCCTAGAAAAACAATAGTTTTCGACCATTTTTGGTACCGCTGTTTGTACAATGAGATATAGTGAGACATAGAACCCTCCTGCTGCTCCTGTTGCTGCTGCTGCTCTTCCTCCCGAAGCTGAAAACGCACGCTGCCGGACAGGGAAACACAGTGGCCCTGAAGGACGGAACAGCGCCAAAATCGAACCCAAAAACTGCCTAACGTCCCTTCTGAAACCCTAGAAAAACAATAGTTTTCGACCAGTTTTTGTACCGCTGTTTGCACAATGAGACATAGTGAGACATAGAACCCTCCTGCTGCTCCTGTTGCTGCTGCTGCTCTTCCTCCCGAAACTGAGAACGGACGCTGCTGGACAGGGAAACACAGTGGCCCTGAAGGACGGAACGGCGCCAAAATCGAGCCCAAAAACTGCCTAACGTCCCTTCTGAAACCCTAGAAAAACAATAGTTTTCGACCATTTTTTGTACCGCTGTTTGTACAATGAGACATAGTGAGACATAGAACCCTCCTGCTGTTGCTGTTGCTGCTGCTGCTCTTCCTCCCGAAGCTGAAAAAGCACGCTGCCGGACAGGGAAACACAGTGGCTCTGAAGGACGGAACGGCGCCAAAATCGAGCCCCAAAACTGCCTAACGTCCCTTCTGAAACCCTAGAAAAACAATAGTTTTCGACCATCTTTTGTACCGCTGTTTGTACAATGAGACATAGTGAGACAGAGAACCCTCCTGCTGCTCCTGTTGCTGCTGCTGCTCTTCCTCCCGAAGCTGAAAACGCACGCTGCCGGACAGGGAAACACAGTGGCCCTGAAGGACGGAACAGCGCCAAAATCGAGCCCAAAAACTGCCTAACGTCCCTTCTGAAACCCTAGAAAAACAATAGTTTTCGACCAGTTTTTGTACCGCTGTTTGTACAATGAGACATAGTGAGACATAGAACCCTCCTGCTGCTCCTGTTGCTGCTGCTGCTCTTCCTCCCGAAGCTGAAAACGCACGCTGCCGGACAGGGAAACACAGTGGCCCTGAAGGACGGAACAGCGCCAAAATCGAGCCCAAAAACTGCCTAACGTCCCTTCTGAAACCCTAGAAAAACAATAGTTTTCGACCAGTTTTTGTACCGCTGTTTGTATATTAATGAGACATAGTGAGACATAGAACCCTCCTGCTGCTCCTGTTGCTGCTGCTGCTCTTCCTCCCGAAGCTGAAAACGCACGCTGCCGGACAGGGAAACACAGTGGCCCTGAAAGACGGAACGGCGCCAAAATCGAACCCAAAAACTGCCTAACGTCCCTTCTGAAACCCTAGAAAAACAATAGTTTTCGACCATTTTTGTACCGCTGTTTGTACAATGAGACATAGTGAGACATAGAACCCTCCTGCTGCTCCTGTTGCTGCTGCTGCTCTTCCTCCCGAAGCTGAAAAAGCACGCTGCCGGACAGGGAAACACAGTGGCTCTGAAGGACGGAACGGCGCCAAAATCGAGCCCCAAAACTGCCTAACGTCCCTTCTGAAACCCTAGAAAAACAATAGTTTTCGACCATCTTTTGTACCGCTGTTTGTACAATGAGACATAGTGAGACAGAGAACCCTCCTGCTGCTCCTGTTGCTGCTGCTGCTCTTCCTCCCGAAGCTGAAAACGTACGCTGCCGGACAGGGAAACACAGTGGCCCTGAAAGACGGAACGGCGCCAAAATCGAGCCCCAAAACTGCCTAATGTCCCTTCTGAAACCCTAGAAAAACAATAGTTTTCGACTATTTTTTGTACCGCTGTTTGTACAATGAGACATAGTGAGACATAGAACCCTCCTGCTGCTCCTGTTGCTGCTGCTGCTCTTCCTCCCGAAGCTGAAAACGCACGCTGCCGGCTGAAGGACGGAACGGCGCCAAAATCGAGCCCCAAAACTGCCTAACGTCCCTTCTGAAACCCTAGAAAAACAATAGTTTTCGACCATTTTTTGTACCGCTGTTTGTACAATGAGACATAGTGAGACATAGAACCCTCCTGCTGCTCCTGTTGCTGCTGCTGCTCTTCCTCCCGAAGCTGAAAACGCACACTGCCGGACAGGGAAACACAGTGGCCCTGAAGGACGGAACAGCGCCAAAATCGAACCCCAAAACTGCCTAACGTCCCTTGTGAAACCCTAGAAAAACAATAGTTTTCGACCATTTTTTGTACCGCTGTTTGTACAATGACACATAGTGAGACATAGAACCCTCCTGCTGCTCCTGTTGCTGCTGCTGCTCTTCCTCCCGAAGCTGAAAACGCACGCTGCCGGACAGGGAAACACAGTGGCCCTGAAGGACGGAACGGCGCCAAAATCGAGCCCCAAAACTGCCTAACGTCCCTTCTGAAACCCATAGAAAATGATGCTTTTGGCTCCTTTTTCCTCTTGCTGCTGCCATGAATTTTAGCTACCTTTACATCCGGTCCCCAAATAGGAAAAGACAATGAAAAAAATCACCTCCCGGGGGCGAAACACCATGCCTCTGAAGGACGGAGAAGCTCCAAAATTGCACCCCGAAAATGCCTAACGTGACTTCTGAAACCCATAAAAAATGATGCTTTTGGCTCCTTTTTCCTCTTGCTGCTGCCATGAATTTTAGCTACCTTTACATCCGGTCCCCAAATAGGAAAAGACAATGAAAAAAATCACCTCCCGGGGGCGAAACACCATGCCTCTGAAGGACGGAGAAGCCCCAAAATTGCACCCCGAAAATGCCTAACGTGGCTTCTGAAACCCATAGACAATGATGCTTTTGGCTCCTTTTTCCTCTTGCTGCTGCCATGAACAGTAGCTACCTAAACATCCGGTCCCCAAATAGGAAAACACCATGGAAAAAATCACCTCCCGGGGGCGAAACACCATGCCTCTGAAGGACGGAGAAGCCCCAAAATTGCACCCCGAAAATGCCTAACGTGGCTTCTGAAACCCATAGACAATGATGCTTTTGGCTCCTTTTCCCTCTTGCTGCTGCCATGAACAGTAGCTACCTTTACATCTGGTCCCCAAATAGGAAAACACCATGGAAAAAATCACCTCCCGGGGGCGAAACACCATGCCTCTGAAGGACGGAGAAGCCCCAAAATTGCACCCCCAAAATGCCTAACGTAACTTCTGAAATCCATAGAAAATGATGATTTTGGCGGCTTTTTCCTCTTGCTGCTGCTATGAATATGAAGTTTGGCTACCTTTAAATAGTAGTAGTAGTAGTAGTAGCAGTAGTAGTAGTAGTAGTAGTAGTAGTAGTAGTCCGAAACAAGAGTCAAAAGTATTATTCCCTGGCGCGCTCCCCCTTGCGTCTGCCGGGGTCGGCGGATATATAAAATAAACCCATATTATAAGATGTGAGATACCTTACATCGTTAATTACAGGACATTTAGACACGAACAAACATCACTGGAGATAATACCATTGGCCCAATGTTAGTAAAGCAATCCATATGTTGATGGGCTATAGCATCCATTCATGGCAAATGTTGGGGTGGTTTACGATTGTTTTACTTATTTGTACATCTATGTGTAAATATATATATATATATTTATATACATATATATATATATACATACATGTGAGTAATGACATGTTGTTGATATATCTACATAGTATCCTACAGTTGCCTGGGGGAAACTAAGCCTTGCCTGTCGATCAGCGAGGCAACGCTATGTGGACGTCTCTACAGCCACTTGGCACAGCTGACACACTCAGCTGTGGGACCTGAAGAGATGGCGCAACGGATGAGCCCTCAAAAATATAGCCTGGTTGATTGGTTATTGTAAGGACTTACCCTCTGGTAGACATTTACAGAACTATCAAAAGCAACCGTTTTCTAGCTGGGTAAATCCACTATTTCAATGGCCATGTTCAATAGCTATGTTAGTTTACCGGAGGGTCTACTACCTGGGTGCTTTTGGATTATAAACTAGCCCATAGAAGAAGCAAATAAGCAACTAGTAGTTCATGAGATGGGATAAGGCGTTTTTTTTTTGGGGGGGGGTTCAGATGGCAACCAAAACGATATCTCCAATTCAACAATAACAAAGCGCAGTTAAAATAAGTTAAGATTTAAGCATTGTTTATATTTGTTTATCATTTTTTGAGGTTGCTATAAGTGACCATTTTTCATGTCATCCAGTAGTAGATGTGGGAAATTTACAAGAAGCTCCTTGCTGTGGGAAAGTGTGGTGAAACATGTCATGTCGGGGTTTCCTTTTAAATCGTAGCACCCCAAAATCAGCAGTTTCCCAATTGAACAGGAACTTGGATTAAAAAATGGGGTCCCCCATGACTTAAATCTGAGTGAACCTTAGATGGATAGTTCAGGGGCATATGAACCCAACATAACCAGGTCCAGGCATAACCATCATTAATGTGATCTTGCTGCAGGGGCCAGCCAAAAAAAAGCCTTGGCGGCTAACGTCGTCGTCATTTGCCCTAAGGAAGTGCTCACACTTCAGCAGATGACCCTGCGAGAGTCTAAGGAACAAGAGGCCTGGGACGCAAAATTCACGTCATGGTTTTGGGGGAATGGAATCGCTCTTTGCTCGTTGAAATCACTAAACCTATAGGCTTTCTGGTAGACATCACCTGATACAACGACCTAGTCTGGTTGGCGGTTTGGAACATGGCTTTTATGACTTTCCATTCAGTTGGGAATAATCATTCCAACTGACAAGCTCATATTTTTCCGAGGGGTAGGGCTCAACCACCAACCAGTCGTGCCCAACGACCTGAATGGGTGCACCACCTGTGAGAGACCCAGAGGGGCACCTCTTGTGGCCAGGTCTCCCTTTGCACAGATACAAATGTAAGACCACACACGGATATGCATGTTGACACACACACACATATATATATATATATATATATTTGTATATGTATATATTTCTATGTATATATATATATATGCACATCTATTGATGGCAGATTTGCGTGTGCCACTCCCAGAGATCGTTTGACCATCCCATCCCATTGCAGGAGACAGCTGAGAAGCAGTGCACAGAGCTGCGCTCGTTGTCCAGTCGATTGCAGGATCAGCTGAAGCAACTGAGGCACTTGGACCTGAAAGGCCACCAGGCGCCGTGGAGCCGTGATCAAACATCCGAAAGACCCGAAAGGGGACGAAAACACAACATGGAACCGCGATGAAAAATCGTGAACGGTGAAACCAGAGATGATGGAAAACACTATGGAAGATATGGAAGATATGGAAGATATGGAAGATATGTCCAACTTTACCAGTTGAGTTTGTGAACCATGGAAAAGACTATGGAAGATATGGTGACATCAGCGAACAATGGATGTATGTTGATGATTTTCTGGATGTATCAATCGCTATGTTTTGTTTATAAACCCCATGAAGTCTAGTATATTATATAATTATATACTATATATTACTATATCACTATGGTAACTATATATATATAATATAAGTACAATGTGAGGCCCCCAGTTGTAAATTGGTTTATAAGCCCCAGTAACTATAGTTATAAGTACCATAAACCATAGTTATTGAAGTTATAAACCAACTTAGGTATCTTGGGGGCCTCACATTGTATATATTATAGATACCAACTCTCTCTCTCCCTCTCTCTCTCTCTCTGTGAGAAACTCAGTGAAATCAACACACTTAAGGTGAAACTGGGTCACCACCTTGATGACGGCAGTGGGGGCAGAGTTTCTGAGAAGTTTTAGTGTCTAATAGTGTCTATAAATGGTGGAATTTTCTTCCACCATTCATAGATCATGTAGATTGTAGATTTACAATCTAGATAATTCAATGGCCATTCCAGGATCCTAAATTGGAGGTACCTACCATATATAAGGCCTATTTTTTAGGCCTATGTAAGGGTCTTGTTCTTTTAGATTGTTTTGTGACTTGGGCTTTGTGAAACCGGCAGTCTTCATGTTGAAACTCACGGGATTTCTGGGATTCCTTGGGTTTCAACCTCGCCCAAGTAAGCCTACTGATCTTTACTGCAGTCGTAACCACATTTTTGCCCCAGCCATCACTATTTATATAGATAGTAATTGAAAAAATATAATCATCATATAATCACAACACACACATAATTGGTGTAGTACTACATTATATACCTATTTGTCATTTGGTTCCACCACGTTAGCCCCGCCAGGGCGACGACGAGGACGTGGCTCGTCTGGCGCACCACGTGGCCGCCTTCCAGCGGCTGCCGTGGCGACGGAAGCTGGCGGCGATGTTGGAAGATGGCGCGCTGCTGTGGATGTTGGCCTTCATGGTGCAGCGGGTTTTCCCGTGGACGTTGGGAAAAACTATGAAACAGGATATTTGGATATATATAATGTCAACCCTGGATTAATAAACCCCTAGGCTGTTTAATTGGGAGGGTACCATTTAAGTATCAGATAATGACTATTGGAGGAGTACCCCCCTAATTAATAAACCATGGTTTATTAATTAGGGGTTGACATTATTTGGAATGGGATATTATCTGACAAAATTGGGATTTTATATTATGGGGATTGTCTAACACCAGGGATTTTGCTTGGGATTTTCTTGCCAAAGGTTTGTCGGGATCTTCCATTTGACCATGGGGTTTTCCAGTACACCTAGAATCAGAGAGTCTATAGCAATGTCACATCCAATAGGCATTCATGGTGCCATATCCCAATTACTGTGGTTGGTTCAATATTGATGGGTAGAAAACTAGATTTAGATAGATAGATAGATAGATAGGTAGATAGGTAGATAGGTAGATAGGTAGATAGGTAGATAGGTAGATAGGTAGATAGATAGGTAGATAGGTAGATAGGTAGATAGGTAGATAGATAGATACATAGGTAGATAGGTAGATAGGTAGATAGATAGATACATAGGTAGATAGGTAGATAGGTAGATAGATAGATCGATGGACACATCGATAGTTCGCATATCCCCATCATTATGGCTGGTGATTATTTGTCCTTAAGATTTTTCAATTTCTTGTGACTTCGCGTCTCTTCGTCTCAGGTGCTGTTGGGCATGCTCTTCACGTCACCCGGCTATGAAAGGTGGTTGTAGATAGCTTAGTTGGTTGATGATCAGTAGGTTTTGCCTTTTGTAGATACATCTGTACTCAATGGGCTTTATGATTATGGTAAATTTGGGTGCCAACTTCTAAACAGCTCTAGTTCATCTACTTTTGAAACTTTAGGGCCCTTCAGGGTAGATACATCGCTAAGTTGGTGGAAATAAGCACTTCAACTATACTTTCTGCTAGATTACAAACCAACAAACACCACTGAGGGGGGGCGGGGCAACACCTGGAATGACATGAAACACTTCAGATTTAGTGGAAGATATGCAAGTTAGTCAACTCAACATTGCGCACAAGGGCGAGGCCCCCCAACGATAGCTAAGTTGGCTTTTGACTCTTATAAAGTATATACAGTATGGTTTATGGTAGGTAGATGTAGGTAGCCACTATAGTTAATGAGGTTTAGCCACTGTAGTAAATGAGGTTTTAGCAACAAACATCATAATTGGAGTCAGATCCATAGTTATCCCAGTAAAGCATCCCATAAAATTTTCCATAGACATCCCAATTTATAGACCATGAAAAATCAGTGGGTCTCCCAGCTGCCGCCCAGGTTATCGTTAATTGTGGAGCTCTGGTTCTCCTCCAAATGCCGCTGCTGGACTGGGCTGGCGTTGCCCCCCCGGAAAGATGCAAAAGAGGTCGACAATTCAGGAACATCCTATAAAACTAGTGACATATCATGGTAATATCATAGTATTTTCATATGAATATGTGTATATATAATATAATATAATACAATAAAATATAATATAATATGTATATAATATGTATATACATACATATATATATATATATATCATATCCTATATTCATGGTATTTCTGTTGAGGGGTGTAAAGCTAAGCTATCAGTTCGAGAAACGCCCCAGCTTGTCTCGGCTTTGTCGAAACTCAGATGGGGAGTTGGAGGTGTTTGTCGCGGAACCCGGGGTCCGGGACGGTCACTAAGCTAGGACAACTTCTAGAAACTTACTGGTGCTAAACGTAGGGAATGGATGGGTTGCTGGGGGTTGCTGGGGGTTGCTGGGGGTTGCTGGGATTATTCTTGATAGTTATTGTGGATCATTCCCGAAAATTCCCTACGTTTAGCACAAGTAAGTAAAGAAAATGGATAGACCTAAGACAACTCTTGCCAATCTGCCTGAGGTGGCGATGGAGAAAGAGAGAGAGAGAGAGAAACATAAATGATAAAGACAAATTGAAGGAAAGAGCGAAAAAAAGAAAGAACAACAAACAAGAAAGAGGACAACTAGGAAAAAATCGACATTTTTTAAACCCACGATAACTGCAAATGGGCAGTGAAAGGCAGTAACATTTGACCACCACTTGTGGCCCTGGCTGTAGCTCATTGGACATGCATAGGGATTTTATGGTGATTCATACGGAGTTAAACAAACAAAAATAGTGATATTAATGTGAACTACCCTTTTGGTAATTTGTTGCAGTTTGCTATGGTACAGATTACCTATTACCTACTGAGTTTGATGATTTACCGTTTGAACAAGCTATGTTTCATTAAACAACTGTTAACTTATCGGAGAGTTACGATCATTTCGGTGCATACGATGATTTCGCATGCGTCAAAGATGGCGGGCACACCATGGAGTATTTCCCCCCTAATCATATTGGTGCACTGCGATGTCATGATTTTGGTGAAAGCCCCCCAAGCTTTGAGCACCTTGTTTTGTCAAACATGTTTCTTCATTTTTTCAAGTTTCAGTCCCAATTTTTGAGTGAACAAACTGTATTATAAACGTTCCAAATTTGTTTCAGTCCCAATTTTTTTAGTTACCCTCTGGTAATTTAACATAGCTATCAAAAATCACCATTTATAGTGGATTTTCCCATTGAAAATGGTGATTTAAACCATAGTTATGTTATCCGAGGTTTGACGTGTGACATCGCCGGGGTTTGACGCTGCCGTGGCTGTCGGCTGAAAACTTCATCCCCCAGTGATATGATGTGTATCCCAGCAGTCATCCCCATTGGTATGGTTCATTATGGTTCATTGGTTCCAAATATATCCCAAATATGTCTTAATATAAGTATCTAATTACTATATAAAGCATGCTTTTTGAAATTATTACTATATAAAGCATGCTTTTTGGTGAGGATGAAGTCAGTGACCGGGAGATGGGATGATTTTTTCGTCGATGGTCCTACTGGTCTCACGGGTTTCCGAGACGTCATGGAGGATCCCGAGCGGTAGAACCATAGCTTTCAATACGAAGTCATGTCATGGTCGAGTAACTTGGATGATCTTGGATGATTTGGAGGTACCCCCCATGACTAATTTGGGAAACCTCCATATGGGTTACGTTCTGGTAATTTAACTATAGCTATTGAAGCCATGGCCATAGAAATAGTGGATTTACCCAGCTATAAAATGGTGATTTTCCATTGCTATGTTAGTTTACCAGAGGGTATGTTTTTTTTCTCAGCCACTTACCTTAACCAATTCGCTCATCCCATGGCCCATCTCACTTGGCGAACTCGCTCTCGACGCCCGGCGGACAGAAAAGGTGTGGAAATACTGGGATGTGGCGATCAATCTGTACATTCTTCTATGTTACTATAATTCATCCCATATTTTTGTTTGTGTGATTAGTGTTACTGTGAAAATATTCGTGTATACTAACGATTGCTATTGTATACTATTATTGTTATTACTATATATATTATATATATGTATATATATATATGGATTGGTATTTCTATTTTTGTTTTGACCATTATAATTCTACATACAAACAAGATGATCATAGGCCAAGAATTCGCGTGGGAATCCTGGCGAACATGGCCATCCCAAGTTCTGAACTTGCCATATTTGATCATTGCTACAATGTGGGGCCCCCAAGATAGCTAAGTTGGTGCATATAACTCCAATAACTATGGTTTATGGTACTTATAACTATAGTTTTCATGGGGTTCATAAGCCAACTTATAACTGGGGGGCCCCACATTGTAGTTCAAAGGTAAAGTTGGTTTATAGCTAGTTTAAGATGTGTACCTTGGCGAAAGTTGGTCATATCTGGCCATATTTGGTGATGCCCTCTAGCAAAGTTGGCTTAAAAACTAACTTCTGGATGCACCGGCTTGTGCTGGTGAGTTTTATATGGCCATGGATACGGATTTATATGGATTTATATGGATTTATGGATCTTTATCCCCCCAAATGATATGCCACTGTTCATTCTGACCCGTCTCCATATCGAAATTGTTTGGGATTATAACACTAATGGTATGCTATCTTACCATTGAATATTGCTCCCTCATTGGGGATGTCATTGCTGAGTCAAACTTTGTTTCGCTTCATGGGTCCAATCGTTAATCCGTGGGCAGCATGAGGTTTCGGACGTGCTGCTTTTGAAATCCGAGCCGGAACCGACCAACACTGTGCCTTCCGGAAGGGGGTGCATCGTTTTGCTGGGATGAGGTGCAGTAAATATGACATGTTCCATACATGTTCCTATATACCCTCCAGAATTTTAACATAGACCCTGACTTTAGGGCCATTAGGGCCATTAGGGCCATTTTGAGTGAAAAGCACTCATCTTCCAACCCCCTATTTGGCAGGGACTATATTAATTACCAGAGGTATGGCCATTTATTAGTTATAACTGGTTATTTCAATGGGACTATACATTCTATACATGGGCTTATTTCAGTACTTATAACTGATATATAAAGGGCCATAACTGTAATGGATACAAAAAAGATGTGCAATGTGCTGGTCAGTTTGTAATGGATACCACCAGCCAACCAGGGCAACCAGGGCATCACCTGGCATCACATCGTCCCGTATCGGCCCGAAAAATATCAATGTTCGGTGCACTGTACCATGAATATCAAAAAAGTATGGAAAAAAAACATTGTTAACATACAGGATGGGGCCCCCAAGATAGCTAAGTTGCCTTGTAAGTGGCTTAATTATGGTTTATGGTAGATATAACTATAGTGAATGGGGGTTAGAATGGCTTATAAACCAACTTATAACTGGGGGGGCCCATCCTGTATGGGGTAGTCACGGTAGTCAATTCCATATATTTCAGCATGTCTGTATGTGTGTTCCATTCATGAGAAACACAAAACTCCTGAAGATATATGATTAGTTGTCCTTGGAAAATCATATCACCCTCTGGTAAATTCACATGGACCCTGAGAATGCCCAATGGTGTTCTGTAGTGGACACATGTGGAAACTAATCCTCCAACCCAGAAAACCATGGGAAGGTCGAACTGTTAATGGCCATAGTTGATTTATTTGGTGATTTTCCAGTGAACTCTTAGTTTACCAGAGGGTATAATTAAAGATAACCATAACCCCAACTATAGAGATACAGTCAAGTTACAACCCCGAACTATATCGTATAACCCCGAATATACTGTAATAATTATATAAAGCTAGCCATAACCCCAACGATGTCAGTTTACATTAATTTATTGCATAATTTTCAATCTAACCATACCCTAACCATAAAGATAACCATATATGTTAACGATGTGATTTTCCATAATTAATGGATAATGGATATTAACTGCACCCACGATATTGTTGAATAGTTATGTTAGTTTTCCCAGAAGTTAATCCCAACTAAAGAGGTGAATGGAGAGGCTTTCCGTCGTCCAGGTGCGTTCCTTCGGTTCCTTGCTTCACAGCTGCCGAACGGAGGCGACCTGCAGGCGCGGTTTGAGGGTGGTTTTTTGGGGCCGGAGATGATGGGTGAACCATGGGTTAAACCATCAGATGGAGGAAACGCATCCAAAAAAGGTGGGTGAACCATGGAAAAAAGATGAAAAAAGACGTATCTATAAACGGACCATTTTCCGTAGCTATGTTAAGCAACCAGAGGGTAACCATGAAAAATGGAGGAAACATGAGGAGACAACCCTTTCAATGAAATGAAAAGGGAGTTTTAAGTGTGAAGCGTATGTTTTTTTTTCAGCGTGAAGAATTGAGGTTTTACGGTCAACCATGGTGTCTTAACAAAGTTGTAACCATTCTGCACTGGATATGATCTACAATTATTGTCAATTAGTCATTTATTGTTTTGTCTATATGTATATATATATACAAATATACGCCGCATAAATTTTGAAATATTCCTATGTAAGGGCCCCCCAAATGAATAGACCCAATACTAAACCAGGGGTTTCGTTTGGGGTATGCTAGACTATAGAGGGAAGATATTTACCAAATGTTGTGGTAAACCTGTTCATGGGTAAATTGAGGGTGTAGCCGGTTTTTAGCATTTATATTGAGATGTAACTCTCGAAACCAAATGCTCCAACTGCCAGCTTTGAAGTCAGCCCTCAGAAATGAGTCTAGCATTTAGTTCCATGGACACTTGGTACAGCGGCATTCCTGGTGTGTCGGAGTCCTGTTTCTTCCGGGATTCTGACTCGACATGCGATCATGTTCTTCCTCAACAAAGTGGTGCCCTCAACCCTTGGAGTTGATCTATCTACTGTAAATCTGAACTTTGGACAAAAATACAGATAGATCAATAGATAGATCATTTAGTGGCACATATATAGGTCGACGAACACACATCATCACACATCACTGGGCACCACTCCTGTCCAACCGCATGATGTGAAAACCTAGGCCGTGCATGTTCGAGCGTGTCCCGGGACGATGCAAGAAAGCCTGGCTCTGTGTGGCTCGGCATCACGGAGAGTTTCAACGGGCTTTCACCTAGGGAAAGCATCGGAAAACCACGGGAAAATGGCGATTTTACATGATTTTACCAAGAAAAGTTGTGATTTAATGGGATGTATAGCTGATTTATGATAGCTAAGTTGGTTTTATAACTCCAACAACTAGGATTTATATGGATTTATGGCAATTGCAACTATTCTTCATGGGGTTATAAACCACTAGCTGGGTGGGGCCACATTGTAGCTTGGAATATTGGGTATGTCCAGCTGTTTATTTGGGTTGGCCACGGCAATACACCATTTTGATATGGGGTACCTCCAGTGTCCGAAGTCATTGGGGTACCTCCTTGCATCATCCAGTCGTCAGCCGTGAATGGGATGGCCGGAGCGTGGAAATTTCGAGCGGAGACTCCAGTGATCTCAGGGGTTCAAAGTTTTCCCTACCAAATGTTGGGAATGTGAACCCTGGTGGATTAGGTGGCTCACCCCCAACTTTTTTATGTTGATTTTGTTGAGCAACCAGCGGCAAAGCCCTAAATTTCTCCTTTTTCTTGAAGTAAATCCATGTTAGTTGAGGACTTTGTTGTTTAGTAAACAGTCCTCAACCAACATGGGCATTTACTTCAAGAGTTTCCCGTTCTTCTTTCTCTGAAATTTTCTGAAATCACCAGGAGGGTTGTTCGATGTTGGTCGGCTTCCCCCACTTGGAAGTCCCTTTGTTCTCAGGACTTCTGTCACCTCCATAGCGGACGCAAAAAGAAGAAGGGCAGTGCGGAGGGCTCCAACTGAACGGTGATGAATTTGGGACGTCCACCGTTGAAGTTTCACAGCTAGAGCAGCAAAAAGCAGATTTGAACAGGAAGGCGTGCTTGAACAACACGCCTGGACTGGACCCTCAAAATTGAACCAGATTATCAAGTGCTCCAAATCTATCCAAATTCATGGTGATTTCCCATCGTTTGCAGGAACACATTCAAGTTGGCAAGTCGAAATACACACCTTACAAGCCGTAGTCCAAATTCTGACTCGGAGTCTTTTCAGGATCTGAGGGTCGTATGCTCCAGTCGTGGCTCGATTGTTAAAAGACTTCACCCTGGTGGTCAATGGATGGGTGAGCAGTCGATTGCTGGCGAAGGTAACCCTCGTGGAGATGGTACTGTCATGTACTGTCCATGATTTTTCAGGGCGCAAGACACCGATGGTTTTTGCTCCCCATTTGATGGCCATTGATGGCCTAAAACCGACACAAAACGCC